GAATTCAAAGCGCAGCAGAAAAGCTTCATTTTGCTTCATTAGTTCTTATCGCGCTAATCTTAATTCATTCCCTCATTTCGTGTTAGAAAGTTCATAGGCAATATACGAACCACCTAAACTTCTGTTTTCATTAAATCAGAGGTGATAAAAATATTGGAAAGACTACATGAACAATATTTTATGGTTCCAGTAGACAAGGCTTGTATTGTCTTGGATTGTAGGGCTCATTATTATAACTGTATTTTAGAAGAACGTGGTCTTAATTTCATATCTGCAAATCCAACTTATACTGACAGGTCACTTTTGAAGGATGAAATTCTTCATAATCACATTTCAGTCTTTAATACTTTTAACATTCCAGTCAATGAAGGGAGTTCGTACCACCCTTTCTATACTGGATCCCTAAAATTCTTAAAATCCTTACAAACAAATATGCATTGCAGGGTCTGAACAGCAAATGTTCTACTCACTAGTATCAAATTGCAATCCCATGGTCTTTAATATTACGATTCTTCTGTTTATTAGATAATACATAACACTGATTAAACAGTTAAATAAAGCTTGTCTTTTTTAATATTATATTAATGGAAGCATTTCTAAATTCATTTTAGCATCCAATACTATAGTTTCATACTCGCTGAATATAGCAATGTCTCGATTGTTGCAGTTTAAGACGCCAGGTAGATGCCATCAATAAATTGTCGGCGAGAGGAATGTATTTCTTTGATTATGGAAACGCGTTCCTTCTGGAGGCTGGGCGAGCAGGTATTGTACATGCCTTGTCCCCCACTTAAAATGTAAATTTCCACAATCAAAAATGAATACAGCAATGTTAGTTTTGAACTCTAATGGGAATTTTTGAAATCTGTTTGCGTCCACATTGTTTCTGGTGGTCTTATTTTTTCATGAATGTATTTGACAACCATAAAATAAAAGAAATGCAGGATTATTTTGGATTTGAAAAAAAATCTTCACATAAAAAATTCAACCTCATACACATTACTTAACGGAACAATACTATATTCGTATTAAATTATGAATTTTGAGGATAGTAATATTGATGTACATTTACATTACATACATATATATGATCAAATAGCATTTGATATTCTTGTCAGGGGCGGATGTGGGAAAAAAGTCAGGGGTGACTGGAACAACTTTTCGGTACCCTTCATACGTCCAAGACATCATGGGGGACATATTCTCACTGGGATTCGGTCCGTTCAGGTAGAGACGTCAGGTTGATAATCCTAGGTTTTTAAGAGGAATTCAATATGATCATGAAGTTAAAAAAGAATATCACTTAATATATGAGGAACTAAATTTATGAAAATAACGATATTTATGAAATCAAATGATTTCGATCATTAAAGCCCATTCTTTTGAAGGTGGGTATGCACGTCAGGCAATCCAGGTGATTTAGATACGACAGATGAAATCGCCACTTCTGTTCTAGAGGACATCATAAACAAAGGAGGTAAATCAGCTCTACCGACTCTGTATCATTTAACATTCATTGTCATGTCAGTATACATTCGGGCGAGGTGAATATTGTATTTCGAAGGTGGCTAAATCATCGTTTCGACCTCAAAAACAGCAATAATTGTATATTATTCTGGTTATTAGATATTGGTTTTATGTTGTGGATACATGTACATGAACGTCCTTTGCTTTTAATCATATGTCATGAATAAAAATACTTCCAGAGCAATTCGAGACCTCCATGTTTGTTATCGTCACTGGAAGTTTCTCTCAATTTTCATCTTTAATGGATAATCTCTTTTTGCAGATAAATTTTACAGTTTTGTCTCAGATACATGTAAATAATCACGTACGTTATGCTTCAAACTTTTCTGACATGGTGTTTTCGCTGTGATATGGTTTTATTTGTGTTAATCTAGTCCCGTTAAGCACCAAACAGCAATATGAAGACAACATCAGATGGATAAGGGAAGCTAATCAAAATAAACTGGTTTGTACTAAAACTTCAAGAGCAATAAATTTTTCCTGATCCCTTCACTTTTTGTATTACATAAATGAAGGCTGCTTCGAATTTTCACCCCAAGTTTAAATTCTTATAAGAAGTAAATGGTTAATGCTAGACGTAATATCTTAGAAATACCGTGAAATCACTAATTTTCGTAGGGGGTTAATTTTCGTTGTTTTCAAGGTATGAAGAGACTAACGAATTCATGTCCACCACAAAATCAAAATTTTAAATACATAACTACTTCACAATTCTTTATCCACGAAACAAAATCCCCGCGAGCCCAGTTTTTCCTCAATCCATGAAAATCTGACCCCACGAAGATATGTGATTTTACAATAAATGGTAAACGTGTCTGTATAATTTCGAAAGTCTTCTTATTGACATCATAAGTACGTGTATACATTGAAGCACGAATTCCCCGGCAGGTTGTGGGATCACAAGCCAGAATACTTTATTCAGACCAGAAGGGCAGAACAGAAATAGCTACAGCGTTTAACGAGGCCGTAGGCAGCAAGAAACTTAGGGTAAGCGAACAGTCACATGACTCCTACAGAAGCTTACAGAGTAAACAGCCGTGGGTCTTATATCCGACAAATACGATATTGTACGTTATTTACTTCTACATACATATGTAGTTCCTTATTTAAAGTAGATGGATTTGGAAATTGTCAATGCATGCTCACTAACATTCGTGACAATGCATTTAATTATACATATAACATTAGACATTTAAAAAGATGTTTAAAATCCCGATTTCTGACTTTCTCTTCATTAATACTCGCCAAAATAATTTCTTGCATGAAAGTCCAATATTTCAAAAACTGATGACTTATTTTGCACTGTTTGTTGGCAGGGTCCAGTGGTGATCAGTCGTGACCATCATGACGTCAGCGGTACAGACAGTCCATACAGAGAAACTTCCAACATTCATGATGGATCAGCGTTCTGTGCAGGTTGGCCACTTCTTTCATCTCGTATATATAAATGACAAGAATTGATAATAATAAATTGCTTATAAATGTGTTCACTCTAACAGATGTATGTGTGCTTCTCAATCAGATATGGCTGTGCAGAACTGTATTGGGGATGCTTTCAGAGGAGCCACCTGGGTGGCGCTCCACAATGGCGGGGGAGTAGGATGGTATAAAATATAATTTATTGTTTTACTTGTATACAAAAAAAAACATCAAAATTACTATAGCCATGTGTAATTATAGTAGTTCTTTTCTAACCACCACTTGTATCTGATTATCAAATAGAGTTCTTGTCGCTGCATAGTTGAACAGGGTTTATCAAACAACGATCTTGCTGAAGTGGCAGTTGAAACTTTAAAGGACTGTAAAATTTGACCAATAAGTGCTCCCCAATTTTTTTTTAAAGAAACACGACGACATGAACAAAAATGTTCAATTATGACTATAGAATTTACAGAGCGCAAATCAACTGCATGCTGTAATTATCTCTCAAAATCAGAGAATTTTTGAATTTATTAATGCTTTTAAGTCTGCAGATATTCCCCTGGTATAGAGCATAATTACAGATTTCTTTAAAAAAAAATAATGAAAAAAAATAAAATGCGAACAGTTTGTGACATCACAGAAATAATTTTGTTTGTTTGCTTGTTGTTTAACGTCTCTCTCGAAAATTTTTCTCTTATATGGAGACGCCACCACTTGCCAGTGGAGAGGTGCAAATTTTTTGACTCGGCACTGAGGGCCAATGAGCAGAGAGGGATCTTTTTCGTCCCGGCATCTACTGCAACACGGGACCTCGGTTTATACAGTCTCATCTTAAGGAGCGGTCTCCACGTCCCGCAGTGGATTCGAACCCGTGGCGTAAGGATCTACTCCTTACACCGCGACTCTAAGGCAAACGCTCTAACCCCTGCGCCAAGCGGGCGACTCACAGAAATAAGAAGTGAAAATAATCAATTTCTAAACAATATTTTTTTTGTTAAGATTTTTTTACAACACATACAATTATGTATATTTCAGAGATTTTCAAAATTTAGATTTTATTGGGGAAATATGGTTTTACGGTACACAGATTTTTGTTTTTGTTTTTGCATTTGAGCATATACGTCAACTGTACTTTAGGGGTGAAGTAATCAACGGTGGGTTTGGATTGGTGTTAGATGGATCTAAGGTAAAGCTGACATGTTCTGAACTATGTTTCATCTTTCTGTAAAAATTTATCACTGCAATCTCATCTGAAGTATTGACTGTTGATAAAATATGTATAAACGAAGTTTCCTTAAGTAGAATCCTCGCTATTTACAGGAAGCTGGAGAGAAAGCCAGGAGAATGCTAGCCTGGGATGTGTCAAATGGGGTAAACCTTACTGAATTTTTTTATTCACATTGTTCCGACACCATTGAATGAATCAAACAAAAAAATTCCTACTGCCATTAAAAATGGGCCAGATATTAATCAAAACAGACTTAAAAACTACCCTAGCTCAGTATCAAATCATGGTTTCATTGCTGGTCTTAATTTATAAAGTTTTTCAAAACATAAATGTTTAAAAATGTTGATCAGTAATGTTGTTTTCCAGGTAAATCGTAGATGTTGGGCTGGAAACGCAAAGGCTGAGGAGACAATATGTAGAACCATGGAGGAAAACCCAGGACTTAAAGTGACGGTGCCACATCATGTCCAAGACAGGGACCTCCTAAAAAGGGCTCTTAAAGACTAGATCTATTCACTTTCTGAAAAGGGCTCTTAAAGACTAGATCTATTCACAGTTACTTTCTGAAAAAAAGGCTCTAAAAGACTAGATCTATTCATACTTGTCATTTTTTGTTCTCAGCAAAAGTCTTGCCTGCTCACAAATGATATAATTATATGTGCATGTAATTTTAAACAGTTTTCATTTCTTGTCCAGTTTTTCAGGATTTTGCATTTAATTCTAAATTCAAGCAAAATCAAAAGCTACTAAATAATATGAGTGCATACAATTTTTTTTTTTTTTTTGTCATTCAGAGGATCATGTAAAACATACAATACATAACCATTATTACTAGATTTATTAGATCAATTTAAGTACACATATAACATATGCTCATTAGGAAAACAATGAGTTCAACCATATACATGTAACTTAATTGTATAGGGGTGTAACAATATATACAAGTATACCACAATACATAAAAAAAAAACGTACCATATAGTGATATAAAAAAAACATATATCTGTGTATCATGATATATAGCATTTTAAGCAATTAATGTTATTTCTTTTTAGTTTTACCTAATAAAAGTGATTTTGTTAATTTACTTAATGCTATTTTTTATTGTATTCAGAGCTTATTAAATGTTTTCTTAAGTCATTTTGAATCCGATGAAATAATCTACAATTTTCATCATTTCCCATTGTAATAGAAATTTACATAGACATACAAATTATATTAAAAATATGAAAGGTGAAATATCATGATGCATATCATGATACAGCCCCTGTGCATCATGATATATCACACTACACTTTAGCCATATGATTACACCCCTGATAACTTGTATCCTTCATCTGTATTCACTGTTTTTTGTCAAATTTCTTGGAGACTTCATCATATAAAATTGTGAAGTATTACATTCGTAGCAAAAGCATGCATCTATTACAGTATAAAGTTCCTGAAAAACCTGCCCATAAACTACTTAACAAAAAAATATTACCTTTGATATAGTTGACCTATAGGCGAGTACTGTATACAGGGTTATTTTCACCCTGTGTTATTTTCACCCTTTCACTCTTGCAAATAACTTTGCCTGTTTCAAATTCCCCCAATCACAGTTCTGTTTAAGAAATTCTACTGTGTTTTTTTTAATTCCCTCCGTTTTAAATTCCCCCACCTGTGAGTAGGGCCAAATGGGCGAAAATAAAATGGGGGTGAAAATTTCCCTGTATACAGTATCAAAAAGATGTCATTGTAAAACTCATCAATTTTTCATTAGGTGATCACAAATCTGATTCAATTGTAGTTTAGCTTGATCTATACAAAAATCATACAATGTCATTACATGCCATTCCTTATCAAGCTTCAGTTTAGGAATAGTTTCTGACTTTCCCCACAATGCACTCTTTCTGGTCTTTGACCAGTGAGAACAGCATTCTTGTTTGAATCCACCCCCTGTACCAACCTTTTGATCACCTGCTAGGTTGGAGTGCTGGCACAGTTTTCCTGAAGTTATTGAAATGTTCCTGATACTGCAGTATTGTATCTGAGGGTGTGTAGACTGTGTCCGGTTTGTGTTTGAGAATAGCTGGAGGGGCATCCGCTGCACTCCCGACCAGACTCTGCAGGAGTTCTTTCATCATGTTCCAACAGTCGTTCATGATGACACAAGGGCAATATTCCACCTGAAATTAAAATCAATTCAGTTTATAGCATGAAGATTCAAACTGATCATATATGTGCATATTTTGAATCAGCAACACAAATAATTTGATTATAAAATAAATAATTATTATCTCAGTGAACTATTTATTGATAGGTTAATTGTTACTAAGATATCAATTATACAAATAATCCTTTAGTTTAATATTATTAATTTAATTACATTTTGTTAACTTTTAAAATATGTTTCTAGATGCTACAGAAACAATGTAAGCGATACTGAATATGCATGCATAATCATACAGGCCTCTATGTGACCTCCAAAATTTAGGAGCCAACTGGCTCCTAATCAGAAAAGTTTAGTAGCCAATGCAAATTTTTAGTCACCAGGTTTTTTTTAGACACCAATTTAAAAATTGATATAAGTCAATATATAGAGACATGTCCATTGCTAACTTTTAAACTTCTTTTCTACTCTATAAAAAAATTTGAAAAATGTTTATAGTTCAGTAATTTGATGATATCCAAGTCAATTTGGCCACTTATAGAAATATTTTTGGTGCTAATCATAATTTTTAGGTGCCGTGGCAACTAAATTAGTCACCTATTAGAGCACTGTCACATAAACCTTCCAGGCAAGTTCACCACAATAGCAACTAACCTCTACCAGAATTCCTTTAAAATTGGATCCAAGAGAAACAGAGCCAATTTTGATGATGAAGTCCCCTATTTCATATCTTTGACCCCTTGATTCAATTTTAAAGCCCTTTCTCTGAGAGTAAAAGCTCTCCCTCCCTGCTTTTGCCATGGTTAATTTTGTCATCAAATCCTCAAAGAGAAGGTCTGACACCAAAATCTGTCCTGATTCTGTCACGGCAAAACATGAGGCTGGGTGTTCACTGTTATGGAGAATGTGAACCACACACTGTTGAGCTATAAAGCAGAAATTTGAAATGTAATTGACTGGACACAAAATGATTTAGTACAATAATATGTCTCATTTATGCTCACTAAAATCCATTTATTTAGTACATAGATTTTCCATACGAGAACATTTATAATTGTATATAAATAGATGACACTCTCCTCAGATGCTATCTGTTGATTTCCATACATGTATCTGACATATTTTAAACTACATTTACATACAGTCAAACCTCGTTATGTTAAACTCAATGGGACTGAGAAAAAACTTCAAAATATCCGAGGGTTCGAGATATTGAGGGTAAAATACTTGAGAAATACATGGTTAGGACTTCACAATCATTTCGACATATTCATGGTATTCAAGATATCCATCACCAACATCACCAAATCTACATGTAGGATGTTCCATATGATCAGCAATGTAGCATGCTTGATTAACACTCACATGACTGCATGACATTTTGTGGATTGGACTGATATGTCTCACAATCTACCAGGAAATTGCCTGTCTTACTGGCTCCCATCATCTCCACCTGTTTCTGGAGTCCATCCACCACCTGCTGTCCACTCTTGCCCTCAGGCACTGGACAGGCAAACACACTGAAATATACAGATTTAACCTGTTTAATGTACATTATTTTCTTGTTCTTGTTTGCTGCATTACAAGATTTGGGAGGTTTCCAGTTTAATTGTTATTAATGTTTCTGAATGGACATAATATACACATAAGAATTCTGCTATAATTAGCATAAAACGTACCACCACCACCCTTCCGCCTTGGACTCCTGACATACCAATATATTAACATGAAAACAATGTAAACACAGTAAGATCCCGAATTTCCTCCACCAGAAACACATGATTTTATGTATTTTGTGAAATGACAAAATACACCAATGACAAAAATATATTGGCGTTTTAGTTTAGACACAATACATTTAGTATGATCATTTTACTTACCATACTACTCCCATCTACACTATTTATTCATTTTCCCTCCTTGTGACAGTCGAAATTGTCGGCTTTGTTAAAGGTCTGAAAAGTGAGAAAACGAATGTTTCATTTTATCAAACTATATATCTTTCTTGTTTTCTTAAGATTGCATTTATTACATAATTCTTTTTTAATTTAACAACATTCTGTTTTTGAAAATCTGAGTTTTACTTTATTACAATATCTCACACAATGTTTTAAACTTGTTTCGTTTTCTAAAATTAAGAATCTCAGATTGCGCATGTCAAACGTTTGGAAGCACGCCGGGTTGAGCATCAAATATAGTTTATTGTAGTAAATTTGACAACAAATACAATGGCGGTAAGTAAAATCACTCTTTCTAGACGTAAATGGATATATAGTATTGAGTTACTGAACAAGGATGTTTTGAAATACATGTGAATACAGTGATTCTGATGAAAAGATAGCACTTGCTATTTAACAAGTTGGGATCAACTACCCCAATTTGTCAGAAGACAGAAAAACTTCTTGGGGATCAGTCTCACAGACTAGAGTTATGAAAAAAAAATCGCTTGCCAAAAGTTCTTGCAGTATATATTTATGCAGGTTAAAAAAAACAAAGAAACAAACAAAAGAAAAGTTTTGGCCGTGTAAATTATTTATATATCACATGGATGTGCCCCAAATGGGCTATAATGATTATATCGTTTGGTCCCAATTTATTTATTGCACACATTTAAACAAGGCTACTGCCCCTTACCAGGTTGGAACCACTTGCCCAAATCAGAAATGGCATATAATAACCTATTTGGAATATATAGTTAACAAAGAAACTGGGGGGATAAGCCGAGCCATATGCCTACATACATGTAACGATCGATAAAAAATCAATAAATTCATTTTACAAAAATTTCACTTTTTGTTGAATTAATGTAATGCTTATTACCATTTGCATATAAATTTGACAAAACCTGAATACTGTAACAGCGAAAATGATTCTGATTAACACAACAAAATGGTATCACGCTCAATTTTCACAGAAACTGACATAAATTGGATGATATAACTAAATTTTTTAAATAGAGTGGGTCTTCGTTCCATTTTTTTGAGAACGATTAATGAAAGGCAATGGAAGGATGTTGCTTTTTACACTTGCAAAAATTTGGTATGAAGACCTACTCTACATAAAATATTAAGTTAACTTACTTAAATTTTCACCGTGGTCTTAAAAAATTCTAAGTCCGAAAACGCTTGCTAAATATAAGAGAACTGTATGCTATTTAAAGAAACATGTAAGTGCGACTCCGTGGTCTAGTGGTTAGCGAGGAGCTCTTCAAAGTAACGTTTATTGAGGAAAGTGTTCGAGTCATGCTCTGATTTTTTGATTTTTTTTTTTTTTTTTTGGTTTTAATTTTGTTTTACTTTATAAAAAAATATCTATAGGAATAACATATTTTTCACTGGAAATAAAATATATACATGTAGTTATGAACTTATTTACAGTAAATTATTTAAAATGCCGGATAAAAGTTATAATTATAGATATTTGAATACTTTTATTCCCGTTTTTATTTATTTTAAATAAAAGCGCTTCTAGATCACCATTATCATTATATATGATGTTAACATTTTTATATTATCTCCACAATAAGTGTAAACACTCAATATGCAGATTAATTAATAGAAGTTCTTACCCATGTTAGACATTTGTGACAGTAAATGGAAGTCAACTGTTTAGCTTGTTTAGAATATAAATATCATTTTGAAAACTACGGTAAACATTAAAATGCTTAAGTAAATTCGAACAATTGAGAGATTTTTTCCAATAAATGTTCTTGCATAGCCAAAAAATGGGCATGGGCACATGGCTCGTCTTATCCCCCCAGATTCTTTGCTGCAGATCTGTAGGAATGTGACTAAAATGGGTAGTAAAACCCGGGCCGGGCCGGGAATTTTGAAACTGAAAACCGGGTTTTCGCTAATTACTGAAAAAATACTGAATCTTCATCACGAAACTTACAGATGTAATTTAATACAACAAAATGTATCTTCGCCGAGAGTTTTAACACCAAATATTATGTTTTTCAATTATAATTAACGATTGTCATTTGCCCGGTGACTAAAATGGGTATAGTAAGCCCAATTTATTCATTTTGGTGATTTAAAGCTAATTACACTCAAAAAATGGGATTTCTTTGTGTTTTATCGTTGTTTGTTAACTTTAAGAACTTAAATATTATGACAATTGCAAAAATTAATGTCGATAATTAAAATAGTCGCCAATTTTTGATACCCGGGACAGTCCAAAACCAGACGTGTTTGCCCGAGACAAACTGGAATATTCCAAAAAATTGCCATCAGATAACTGGGTGCAGAGAATAATGTAGAATTTATTGAAAATGTAACCTAAACCCCCCTCCCCCCCCCCCCCCTCCAAATAAAATAAATCAACAATTCGAGAAAATAAATGAAATACACACAAAAATCCTGACAATTCTTTTTTTATAAATACTAATGGAGTTATGTATTTTAATGATTTGACAAAAGAAAGACTGTAGGCTACAGCTAGATTTGTAATCAGGTAATCATTTCCCCGAAATTACATGTATATGTCTGCAGAGCTAGCTTGGAACATGGTAAATTAAGATCATGAAGATATTACCAGTAAATTTAATAAAATCTACGCAGTTGGCTTGGTTCAGGAATATTTACTACTCTCATCATTATCTCGGAAATTTAAGGTTCGTCCCGGGTAAATGTGTCCAGTTTTGGTCGGTCCTGGGTATTCAAAAAATGCATTTATTTTCTACAATCGGTAAATATTTATAAAATGGTTATAATTTTTTGGCAGTTTAAGTTCATTTCGATCTATCCAATGCAAAAAACTGCAATTATTTCAATAATATTAAGTACAAAACACCAAAATATGTAAACCGGGTTTACTACCCATTTTAGTCACCGGGAAAATGACAATCATCGATAATAATTGAAAAAGTAATACTTGGAGTTGAAACTCTCAGCGAAGGCATATTGTGTTTTTAGCTCACCTGAGCTGAAAGCTCAAGTGAGCTTTTCTGATCACCCGTTGTCCGTCGTCCGTCCGTCTGTAAACTTTTCACATTTTCAACTTCTTCTCAAGAACCACTGGGCCAATTTTAACCAAACTTGGTGCAAAGCATTCTTGGGTGAAGGGGAGTTTAAATTGTTAAAATGAAGGGCCATGTCCCCTTCAAAAGGGAGATAATCAAGAAAATACAAAAATTGGGTGGGGTCATTAAAAAATCTTCTTCTCAAGAACCATTGGGCCAGAAAAGCTGAAATTTATGTGGAAGCATCCTGGGATAGTGTAGATTCTAAATTGGTCAAATCATGGCCCCCGGGGATAGGGCGGGGCCACAATGTAGTAAAAATCTTTAAAAATCTTCTTCTCAAGAACTACTGGGCCAGAAAAGCTGAAACTTATGTGGAAGCATCCTGGGGTAATGTAGATTCTATATTGTTCAAATCATGACCCCCAGGGGTAGGGCGGGGCCACAATAGGGAATCCAAGTTTTACATTGAAATATGTAGTAAAAGTCTTTAAAAATCTTCTTCTCAAGAACCACTGTGCCAGAAAAGGTGAAACTTATGTGGAAGCATCCTTGGGTAGTGTAGATTCTAAATTGTTCAAATCATGACCCCTGGGGGTAGGGCGGGGCCACAATAAGGAATCCAAGTTTTACATTGAAATATGTAATAAAGATCTTTAAAAATCTTCTTCTCAAGAACCACTTAGCCAGAAAAGCTGAAACTTATGTTGAAGCATCCTTAGGTAGTGTAGATTCTAAATTGTTCAAATCATGACCCCCAGGGGTAGGGCGGGGCCACAATAGGGAATCCAAGTTTTACATTGAAATATGTAATGAAGATCTTTAAAAATCTTCTTCTCAAGAACTACTGGGCCAGAAAAGCTGAAACTTATGTTGAAGCATCCTTGGGTAGTGTAGATTCTAAATTGTTCAAATCATGACCCCCGGGGGTAGGGCGGGGCCACAATAGGGAATCCAAGTTTTACATTGAAATATGTAATAAAGATCTTTAAAAATCTTCTTCTCAAGAACCACTGGGCCAGAAAGACTGAAACTTATGTTGAAGCATCCTTGGGTAGTGTAGATTCTAAATTGTTCAAATCATGACCCATGGGGGTATTGCGGGGCCACAATAAGTACTACAAGGGGATGAAATCAGGTGAAAAACAGCAAGGCCAAAGTTTCTCAGGTGAGCGTTGTGGCCCATGGGCCTCTTGTATTTAACTATATCTGTAAGTTTCATGACAAATAATTAAGTATTTTTTCAGTAATTAGCAAAAACCCGGTTTTCAGTTTCAAAATTCCCGGCCCAGCCCGGGTTTTACTACCCATTTTAGTCACACTCGATCTGTAGCTCTCTGGTCTGAAAAAAATGGGATTGATGACCAGAGCTACAGTGTCATTCACTGTATATTTATTGCAGACAAAAAGTGCACTGTTTATCAATTTATTTTTTTGTATACTTCAGCAGGTTGGGACCATTCGCCCAAATGGGATATAATATCCCAAATGGGATATAAATTTACAATGCAAAAAACGAAAATTTTTATCTTGGCTATAAATATCATAAATCCGCATCAAGATACTTATAAAGGAATAACTTTTGGTTAACAAGTTTTTCTGTATGACCACTGTTTAAGAGATTGATCCATCGGAAGTTCGTAAACTTCTTGGGGATCAATCTAACAAACCGTAGGGTTGCAGAAAAACTTGCTTGCCAAAAGTTATTCCTTTTAAAGTATTTTGATGCGGATTTATGATATTTATAGCCAAAATAAAAATTTTCATTTTTTTTTTTGCACTGTATATTTATATCCCATTTGGGATATTATATCCCTGGCCAGACAGGTTATTATATCCCATTTGTTCCAAACCTGTTCAAAATATTGCTAACCATGTGTTCCTAATATATTATTTAATACTACTTCCTCATCAAAATGCATGTACAAGTCATGCACAAAGTGCATTGGACTGAATTGTCTTGCCACCCAAAATGGCAGTATGAATAGCAGAAATTTTTTGATAAGGCCCAGGAGGGCTATTAACAAAGATATTGGGGAATATTTTGTTGTGGAAGTAGTAAAGGAATATGTAAGGAACACAGGGTTAGTAATATTTTGAGATGACATCTTAAATATACGGAGGAATAAACCCAGAAAACAGCACACTTTTCTGTGTGCAATAAATATACACTTTTTTCAGTGGGTGGCACTGTAGCTCTCTGGTAGTCCATACCAATTTTTTCAGACTAGCGAGCTACAGATCTGCAGCTAATGCCAAACAGACTCAAGCATTTGTTAAAAAATTTTGTTTCATACAGTTAGCTAAGTTTTCTAATATTCTGAATAGTAGAAAACTAGCATACTGTATGAAATAAATGCCTGTACTTGTAAATGAATTTAACTTTACAGAGCAAAAAATGGAAATTTTTCTATGAACTATAAATGTTGTAAATCTGCATCAAAATGCTTTCAAGTAAACAACTTTTGGTAAATAATTATTCTTGGATTCCATGTTTAGGAAGTTGATCCCTTGAAAGATCTTTAACTTTGTAGGGATCAATCTATAAACTGTAGGGATATAGAAAAACTTGCTTGCCACAAGTCATTGCATTTAAAATAATAAGTATATTTTTGCAGATTTACAATAGTTCAAGCCAAAATAAAAATTTTCATTCATTGCAAGCTTTAAATTTTTGTCCCATTTCGGATATCCTAAACAGGTTATTATACATCCCATTTGTGCTATTGGTTGCAAGCTGCTTAAGCCATGCCGTTAAACTTACTTTTCATAATGATCAGACCCGATTCAATATGGATTATTGCTGAAAGAATGCTTGTATAAAGACCGTAAATATTAAATAATAGTAAATTATTTGCAGTTTTGTTAACATTGCGCATTCACCATTGCATCTTGGTCAATGCTGAACGTTACAATAGCCAAAATAATCTCGTGTCATGCCCTTACCTGAACCATTATGACCATAGGACAATTAATTTAATGATGGAACATTTATCTATGGTTAGTACTGCATGAATTTACCCACTTTCCAGGCCAGTGCTGTGGTATACTATAACTTGACACACTCCTGCTTGCCCCTTCTTGTTTAGGGCACAGGAAATTTGCTCCCAGCACTGACAACCACAAATTCATTGTTTTCAGGCTAACTCGGAAAAGTTAAGAGCTACTTAACAAAATAAATGTACTACAAAAAAATACTCTCATATTCTAAACAGCGATTGAGTATAAAGTATTTATAATGTGTAAATCAAAATCATTAACCTGTGTTACTTTATATATTTCAGTCTCTTCCTATGAACCCTAAGCCATTTCTTAATGGATTGACAGGCAAACCAGTAATGGTAAAACTAAAGTGGGGTATGGAATACAAGGGATACTTAGTGTCGGTAGATGGATACATGAACTTACAGGTAAAACATTCATTATGGCGAAAGAGTAATTTTTCACCAATCTTAAGTGATATACATGTATATCAGTTTTTCTTGTATTTCTTTACATTCATATATTATTACATAGTGGTAATTCTGACACTGTTGGATTTGTATTAAAAGTCTAATTAATTTATAGACATTAACTTTACAGTACAAAATTTTAAGTTTTATTATTCATCAATGAGCATAAGATCATTTCTAATGAGAAAATAAATGTACATATTACTGAATAAATCCATATGAAGTAATGGACCAGAAACATCAAAATATGGAATACTTAATTGAAATGCAGTACTATTCAAATGTATAGTATACCATCTGTATATTTATTGTATTTCTTGAGACATGATAAAGTTATATTTAAGTAATTTTTGAAATTTTTCATTCTCAGCTTGCCAACACAGAGGAATATATTGACGGGGCCCAGACAGGGAATCTAGGAGAAGTTCTCATTCGCTGCAATAATGTACTGTATATACGAGGAGTAGAGGAGGAGGACGAGGAGGGGGAGATGAAGGACTGATCACTTCTCCACAGTGTGGAAGAGGCAGCAATCCTCGTTCATCATGTTCATCTCATCATGCTCTCATCTGTCATTTCACAGACTCGTACATTTTATGTTGTTTTTGTAGACCTCTACAATTATGTTTTTATGGAATCGAAATATAATGATGTAAATATAACGGTCATATGCAAAAAAAAAAGTTTTCATGTTTTTGTTATTTTTTTCGAGGGCAGAAGAATGGTATTTTTGGAATTGCAAATAAAATATGAAGTATAGGGCAAAGAAAATCATTTAAGAAATACATGTACAATGGAAAGTAAGGTCAGATGAAAAAAAATCATACCCAGTTAATGGACCTGATACGATATTTGAAATATAATTTAATTTTCTCTCATCAGGATATTTTTTTCATAGGACAGCTTGTAAATATGACATCTAAAAACTTCAAACAAGACCAAAATTTTTACCAACAGATTTGAGTAGATGAGAAAGAATTAGATGACCTCTATTGATTTCGGGGTCATCTCTTAAGTAGTCAGTATCGTCCATTTCTACCCTTCATCTTTGACATTATGACTGCAAAATCAATTGGTCACTTACTCCCTAGGGGGAACCAGTGTACCAAGGTTGATGTCTGTGAAGCAAAAGGCTCTTAAGATATTGAGCAGTTATTGTCTTCCTATGTCCAGTTTGACCCCTGACCTTTGATCTTGTGACCTCAAAATCAGTAAGGGTCATTTACTCCAACGTATGCAAAGTTTGACATCTGACAAGCAAAGTGTTCTCAAGATACCGAGTAGACAATATCTTCCTACAGTGGTCAAAATGCACACACAATCTTTTTTCTTCCAAAATTCAAATATCTTTGCTTAAATAGGTGCTTTTCTTACTGAAGAAGTGATATCTAGTTAAACAACTTTGTCCATTAAGCCACAGTTGTGTGAAAAATGGGGAAAATGTAGGTATACAGTTCAATATAGATGTTGAAAAGTTTTGGAATATTATTAAGTTTCATTACTGAAAAAGTTTCTTGGAACATTTTCAAGAGTCTATTTTTACATTTTTCCTCAATTAAAATTTTCAAATTAGATTTCCATTGAAAAAAAATATCATATGAGCATGAAGTTTTAAGTGTGCAAATGACATATGTTCGAAAGGAATATCTATCATAGTAACATATACTTAAAAACATTTTGTTAATCGGATATTCATATTCTTTTACACAATTTGTGATGCTGTAATTTACTTGATACGAAGACTCCAAAACCCAACATAAAAGACTCTTTAGCTGATATATGGTACACAAGTTCATACAAAGTTTTCTTTCTGTTAGAAGAATTTTTTTTTACATAATTATAATGTGTAGCTAGCCCTCTACCAAAATTGAGAAAAATATTTTATATGAGTCCAAGGATAAGCCCCATGAAGTTAATTGATCAATGATCATATATTGGAAATTTATTACACATTGTGCCTTTGAAACTTTTATCCCTGAATATTAAGACAATTTGTATGCATGAGGCTGGTAAGTATACATGTACATGTAGGTGGTGCTAAATTGATTATTTGACATGACATGTATAATTCTAAATATAATTCATCTTATGGAAGTGTTAAAATATGATTTTTCTACACATGTATATTTTAATGGTCCTAACTTTGAAAACAAGTTAAAAGCCCTCAAATAGCAATCATGCAGGATTGTTTAGGATCAGGTATGTAAGTTGGAAGAAAACATTTTCATGTAAAATAATACATTAATTTAATTTTATATCAAGCTTTGTCAATATTTCATTAAAATCTTCTCTTTTATGAAATACAGTTGAACATGGTTATCTTGAACACTGACGTCTTGAATACCAGGGATATGTCAAAATGTGTTGGCAGTCCCAAATACATTTTCTTTATGTTTTTTATCCTCAGATATCTCAAAGTATAATCTTGGTCCTATCAAGTTCAAGATAATGAGATTTGACTGTATACTAAAAATAAGCATAAAATGATTATCTTAAATGAGGTATATTTTATTTTGTACAAAACATAAATGGAGACACACTCCTTTTTAAAAAAAATTACCAAAATGCTTTATATATATATTAAAAAAGGTGTCATATTCTACGTATAATGTCACACTTTTTAAACTCCATCTGTTTAAAGCATTGGCATTCTCTCTCTCACTCTAGGGACATTTTCATCTGCAAAGAAAATAAAGAAACATCTAATATAGCAAAATAATTATTACAATTTCTTACAGAGAAGTTGGCCCATGGCCTATATCACCTTACACTAAGTGTCGAATCTATGGTGATAGACTGCTATTCCATATTGAAGCCCTAATATAGCAAAATGGAAGAGAGTATATTTTGAAAGAAAAAAAAACAGAATTAACACTGCATGAGGATTTAACACTACATACTTCTTTGACATTCTGCACAGACATGCTGTTAACACACAAGGCAATCATCCCTGCATGAGTGTGTGCTCCCAGAAGAAAACTTTACACCAATATTGATGCCCCATCAGGCTAAAGCACAGATTGCCATTATTGCAGAGACATATTTCTAATATATGTTTACTTAAATTTTTAGTCCCTAGCGTGGCACAGTGTTTAGAGTGTTTGCTCTAGAGTCGCTGTGTAAGGAGTTGATCCCTACAACGCAGGTTCAAATCCACTGCAGGATGTGGAGAACAATCCTTTGGATGAGACCGTATAAAATCTCTTCTATTTCAGTGTTCATTTATTGTTTACTTTTAAATCTCTCCCTATATATATCTCAGTCAATGAAACCTTTGGTGTTTTAAATTTGAGCTTAAAACAACCTTATAACAATTCATAAAATAGCATTACCATTTCTGATCAGCTGGTTTTAGCAATATTTCCTGTTATTTCTGCAACATTAGCAGCATCAGCAGCGGACATCTCCCTGGCAACCAGGACTACAACAATAAATACACCCCAGCTCTTTGCTGCCTTCCTGTTAAATGTCATAAAATGGCATATATTATAAGCTTCATAAATTAGATTTAACATCAAGATCATATTTACAGAAGTTTACATTCTAAAGTAACATAAAGGATAGTGTTTCAAAACCTGTCAATCCTGGGAGAGAGAACTGATCAAAGGCTGATATGTACAAATCATACTCAAAATTTTCCAAAACTATAAATATTTATATCAGTATTGTAGCAGAACTCTTAAATTTGTTTGTTTCTTTTTCTAGATATTGAGTTTTAATTCCCAGTTGCCAGAACTATTATCATCTGAGGAGACATGGTTATTTTAACTAAAACATTCTCCAGTAAGTAAAACTCTAGAATATTATGATGTCCCAGTCTATTCAATCATCGGTAAAAAAAAAAAATGCTTCCAATAGGGATGTGCGATTTTATCTGTAAACCAGTATATCATGATTTTTTTATTGCGCGATATATATTGTGATACAGAGACTAAAATACCGGTATTTAGTATGTAATTAAAAATTCCAGAAATATTATTAATTCCATTTAAGGTGTGCCGTTTCGCATTACGTCACGATCTTTTTCGACAGATGCAACCTAGCATAAACAATTCAAGCCCCCGCTGTGTGATTGGTCAACTCATTTTATCAACATTGATACAGAAATAGTCTGTTGCACAAGCAACCAGTCAGGGATAAGAAGAAACTTCCAGTCATATAACTTGCGGTTAGGAGGCGTGTACTATTTACCTTGAGCGCAGCTGTCATCATAGGTTGTGACGTAATGCAAAACAGCACACTAAACTGGAATTAATAATAATTTATATTTTTTTCACACTCTTGAATTACAATTACAGGAATTGTAAAAAATGTTGTAAAACAATGGCATTCTAGCACACAACCATGCTTTATTAACATATAAATAAAAATTTGAAAAATGAATTTATGTTTCCATACTATATTTGTAAGAAAAACCATGGAAATTCATTTAAAATCATAGTGAACAGGTGAACATGGTGAAAATTATGTGTAAAAATATCATGTTATTTTCGTGATATTTTTGGCAAAAATCGCGATAAATCACGATACAATTTTTTTGGCGATACCCATCTCTAGCTTCCAAATAAGTTTTCATTCTGCTACAGTGAAAAAGCCAGTTATTAATCAAGTCATACCTCGGAACTGATCTCAGACTCAATCAGTCAATACCTTTCTTTATCATGTTTATCTAGAGTTTTTAAAACTGCATCTTAGACATAAATATCATTTATGTCTTTGCATAGGTGAAAATTCTTGTTTAATTTAAAAAGATGATCAAAATATGTTCTCTAATCAGCTGCTAAAGTAAAATTAAAAGACTGAAATAATTCGGGCTAAACGATGGTCGAAAGAACAGATCAGCTCATTCACTTTGTGTGATTACTGAATAAACAATTGTACCATACAAATGGGTTTGACCATACTGCCTTTACAATGTCCTTTGCCCCCATGTTAATTATATTATAGGCCTTTGTTGCTTCACGTGTACGCGTGTTTACAAACTGAAAGAAAAAATGCAAACGGTAAAACTAGAATAGTGAATGCCGACTCACGACTCTCTCGGTTTTCTATTGTACAGTATTCAAGTGAAAACGACACTTCAAAATGCAGAACAGCACTAGAATTTGAAAATGTCACTTAGGAATTTGCAAAAATATATACTTATAATGATCTTTGAGGATTTTTTAAAATTATATTTTAAAAAATTATAAGAAATAAACTATATTAGTTAGCTTAAATATAATGAGCTTTCTTTATGTATATTACACGTAAGTATACATTTTGTCAGACGCATGCACGGATCTGGGGGGGGGGGGGGGTTCCGGACCCCCCCCCCTAGAATTTGCAGAGTTATCAAACAGTTAAATGTATATATACTGAACCAACTAGAACTGATCTTGGAGCCCCCCCCCCCCCCCCCAGAAAACGCGGATCCGTGTTAAGTTGGTATAAAAGTCATAGATATGAAGCTTTAGAAGTCAGCGACTACACCCTTCCCCCACCCCCCACGAAATAGTTGTTTTCAGGTTTGGGAAAGGAGTTATTTAAAAAAAAAATTTCAAGAAATTTCTGGGTTGGATTTTTTTTGACTGGGATGGACCCCCCCCCACCCACCCCCCCCCCACCCCCCGAAAAAAATTCTTGATCCATGTCTGCAATCTTTCGAGTCTTTTGAAGAAAAGGATAATTCTATCATATAAAACTATATTTTATATGACTATCAACTTTTTAACGAGAAATATTGGATGTTTTACCACATAAGTTGTTTAAGTTTATAGTATGAATCCTGAAAATAGAGTTCAAGTCATAGAGTTTCAACTTTAAAAAGTTTTATGACGAATATCACACCAATATATTTTATTTATTGGATCTTAAAACATCTCTTAATATATGATTTCAACAAAAAGATAAGCTCTTAATTATTTCATAAGATTTTTTATTAAAATTATTTTTCCAGAGAATGTAAAAGATGTTTGTTGGCAAAGGAGACACTTAATCAATTCATATCTATATCAAGTTATATGTTCAGGAGAGTTATATGAAGTCATAAAAAAATAATAATGATGCAAATAAAAACACAACTTGTTAATACTCTCATGCAGTGGAATATATGAATAAATTCTTTAAGAAATATATCACTTGTATACAAGAAATATTAAGACACTCATTCATGTATTTGAAAAAATAAATAAATAAATAAATATAATTTCCAGATTTAAGAGAAAATGCTAATTTTAAAATTTAAACCAATCCTGACTGAGATTAATTATGTGAATTTAGTTCAACAATGTGAATGTGCCTAAAAAGTTTGAGCCAAATCTGTTATTAAGCGTTGTGGAGAATATCAACGAAAAAATACTAATCCGAGACAGTCGGGAGTCGGTAGTGACAGTACTAGTTTTACCTCCTGTCTACCTAAAACCCAAAATAGAGTTGGTAGTCCGTCCAGAATGACAGAAGTTTCTTCTATGAAAATATATTTACTTCTTCTTACATATGAAGAACTAAGAATGCAGAATTATTCTTTATTTAAAATTTATAAATAATGCGAATGTTTCTTTAGAGAAGTGGCAGATCATGGAATTTTTTTTTGGGGGGGGGGGGGGGGTGTCAGATATGTCGAGTAATCTTTTGTATGAATTGTTTAAGCGCGGTTCAACCGGAAATCACTTCTATCCACAATATACTTCAGTTCTGAGAACATTTCTCACAAGTGAAACCTTTTTAAAAAGCAAGATGTCCATAGGAATGAGCAAAGAAGAATACCTGAAACGTTACACTTCTGATTACACAGCATTAGATAAACGAAAGAAACGAAGAAAAAAGCCAGAAAATGTCAGAGTTCCAAAGTCAAGAATTGTAGATGATGATATTGATTTAAAGACACTTCTTCCAAGTAATCTTGAGGATACCTCAGCATATGACAATATAGAAGAAAATGTACCAACTGTTGCAGCGTTTATGGATGAGCGTCCAAAACATATTCAAGAACTTGAGGCGTACACAACGGACAAATGGAAGGGAGTCGCAGCAAAAGATGAAAACTTGAAAAACTCTCAAATTAGAAAGAGACACGACTCAGACTCTAGTACTTCACCAATAGGTAGAGAAAGACATGATTCAAATTCTGACCAATCACCTCCAAGAAAAGGACGTCATGATTCAAATTCTGACCAGTCACCTCCAAGAAAAGGACGACATGATTCTGATTCTGACCAATCACCTCAAAGGAATCAAAGACATGAATCAGATTCTGACCAATCACCACAAAGGAATCAAAGACATGAATCAGATTCTGATCAATCACCACAAAGGAATCGAAGACATGAATCAGATTCTGACCAATCACCACAAAGGAATCGAAGACATGATTCAGATTCTGACCAATCTCCACCAAGGAAATTACCTAAAAGTTATTCTAAAAAAGGAAAACAAATAGAAGATGCAAAATATGACCATAGTGTTTTCAGAAAATCTAACAGTGCTAATGAATCAGGAAAAAGTAAAAATCTCAAGGACCATTCCTTTCAGAAAGAACAAGATGAAAAGAATAGTAGTAAAATGAATAAAACATTGTCTGGAAAGAAAGCTGGTCTCTCTTCAGCAAAAGATATGAAGACAGAAGCAGATGTGTTGAGAAGGAAAGAAGATGAAACATTTAAACAGATATCATCAGATCTCTTGGGAAAAGATGCTAAGACTCAATACAGAAAAAGTGGAAGACAGCAAAAGAAAAAAGATGCAGAGCCAACAATAGAGGAAATAAAGAGAAAAGAAGAAATAGAAGCCAAGCACCATGAATGGGGGAAAGGTATAAAGCAAACAGAGAACAGGGCAGCTAAATTAGAAGATCATCTGTATGAAATGTCTAAACCTTTGGCACGAGCACGAGATGACAAAGATTTAGATGCTATGTTAAAGGATATGGAAAGAGCTGATGACCCAATGTTAGCCTTCATTAAGAAGAAAAAAAGCAACAACAAAACGAAAAAAGAACTTCCAAAATATAAAGGTCCCCCTCCACCTCCAAACAGATTTGGGATTATGCCAGGCTACAGATGGGATGGTGTAGACAGATCAAATGGTTTTGAACGATCAATATATGCAAAACTCTCGGACAAAAAAGCTGTTGAAGATATGGCTTACAAATGGAGTGTGGAAGATATGTAGTCTGTAAATTCAGGGGTAAATCTTTATGATCTCCAGGGACATAATTATGATGTACCAAATTCTTAAGTATTCACAAATAAAATTAAAGTCTATGCAAAGGTTACTTGACTTATGTGACACCAGTCACCTGTGGCAGGAATATTTTTTACAGTCGAATCTCAGTACCTTGAATTTGGTCAGAGCGCTTCAAGATATCTGAAATTTTGAGATATGGAGATTAAAAAGGATAAAGAAAAAGAAATTGGGATTTCCAACTCATTTTGACCTATCAGTTGTATTCAAGATATCAAATTTCTAGATACTGAAATTAAAAATTCTGTATTTTATATTTTGAAATTGTATTTATAGAATCACAGAATTATTCCTATCAATTTTATTGAAATTCTCAGGGGTAAAAACATAAATATTAATGTTATAAAACATACTTTTAGGTATTACCTACATGTACAGTGTCATGGGAGGTTTTATTTCTAAAAAATAAACTTTAAGTTCTCTTGGTTTTAAAACAAACCATGCATGGATCTAGAGGGCATTTTTAGAAATATTAAGTTTCCATGTAAAAGAAACCAAAAATGACCTTAGAACCTCCCCCCCCCCCCACACGAAAGCCTCATAAAATCGTAAAGAGAATCGTGTATCTGAACACAATGAATATTACGAATAACCATAAAAATTCCTAGAAGTAAATCTGTGACCTACTTTTGGATCAATACATCATGAGGCCCAAAAGTGCATGTAATAACTGACAAAGTTTGATGATTCTTGGCCTTTTCGGGGGTCCACATCAATGTCATACTCAGAAATTATTTTGACAAACTAAAGAACATAAACAACTCGCCCAGTTGCCCCAGTGCTGGTATTCCTATTTCGGAAGGGGGAACATTCACCTAAGTCGATTTTTTTTCAGATGGATGTCTCGCCTTACCATTTTTAAAGGGGTCTGCATCTCCTCTGTGTGTGTGTGTGGGGGGGGGGGGGGGGTTCCATTTTTTTGTTTTGTTTTTTTTTTACATAGAATTACTGAAAATTCCAGGAGAGGGAGTCTGACCCCCTCCCCTTTTCACATCCGCCCATGATGCTGTTAAAATAAAAGAAGCAAATTCAAAGAATTGTGGCCCCTCCTCCGCTTTCATGTCTTTGTTGTTAGGATGCAATTATTCATTGGCGGATCCAGGGGGGGGGGGGTTCCCGGGGTTGGAAACCCCCCCTTTTATTTTTTGCCGAGTGGAGAAAGCGAGAGAGAAAGAGGATAAAATGTTTTCTGGAATTGATATTTGTACTTAGAACTAACTTATAAGCGTAGTTCAAAACAGCTCGATCGGTTGCTCATATTTCACTTGCAATATCGATAGAGTCCCAGATATTTACCTTCACTATTCCTCCCTTTCAGCGTTTTTATTTATGAGAGAATGGTAGAAAATATTCTACTTATTTTAATATATAAGTAACATGCGGGGTTTAATTTGATATCAAATTCCGGCGATCTTTGGCTATATGTGTACCGTTTTCGGATCATCTTTTGAAGGAACAAACTTAAATAAGTCATAAAAGGGAATATGCAAAAGGCCACTGTGACAGTAAATTACATGTAATTCTTTGTTTTACATAGATTTTCAAAAACCTACCCAAAAAGTTTTTCAAATTCTAAAAAAAAATCTTTGTTTTCTTCAGAAACCCTGCAAATCCATTCAATTTTAAGGCTACAGTAGTTTAAAGAATGTCTTTGTTTTTTATTCGGACTAGGAGGGGGGTTACCTTTTCAAAGAAACAAACCACGACCTAAGATCTCTCTGTGTGAATCTATGTTTGAGTGACTGTGTGTGTGTGTGGGGGGGGGGGGGGGGGCACCACCCTGGAACCCCCCTTTCAAAAATTGCTGGATCCGCCTCTGTTATTTATGGCATATTGTATCCGTCCTGTCTCTGTTTTCTGTCTTGTCTGTGCATCATACAGCAAAGACATAAATTATTGATTTAAAAATAGTTATGGCAAATATGAAAGCTTCTCAAAACAGTATTTTCAAGATGATGGTCATGAGGTCAAATAGCATACTAGTAATGCAATCCAAAAGATATTCTCACAGGTAATGCACATGTGAAAAAAGTATGAAAGCCTAATTTCTTCTGGAGCAATACTTATGGCCAAAGTTAAAATTCTTGATAAGTAGGCCAGCATTCTAGGTCAAAGTCATGAAGTCAAAAATGATATAATTCTTTCTGAAAGGTGTTGTCATAGGTAATGTAAATCTTGATGCCCTATCTTTTCTCATTCAAAAGTTATTACCAATGTAAAATTATGAGAGACTGTAGGTTAAACTTCAAGATCAAGGTCACGAGGTCAAAAACCAAAGTACATTCGGAAAGGTCTTGAAACAGGTAATAATACACATGTCAAATGTAAATGTCCTATCTTCTCTCAATCAAAAGTTATCGGCAATGTTATAAGTCAAACTTCAAGGTCTTGGGGTTAAAAATCATAATGCATTTGGAAATGCTTGTCACAGGTAATGCACGTGTCAAATATGATTGCCCTTCTTCGCTCTTCGCTCCTTCAAAAGTTAGCAGCAATGATAAAATGTTCGAAAATTTGGTCGAATTTGAGTCAAGGTCACAGGGTCGAATATATTCCACACTTGGATTTTTTTTGGTACAGTAATGCACTTGTGAGATATGAAAACTCTATCATCTCTCATTCAAAAGTTACCACCAGTGTTAATTATTTTTTTTTAAATTAAGTCAAACTTCAAGGTCATGGAGTCAATTATCATATCATATTCAGAAACTTTTTGACACAGGTAATGTACTTGTCAAATATGAACACACTATCCTCTCTCATTTAGACGTTATCAATAATGTTTTTTTTTTTTAAATTAGGTCAGACTTGAAAGTCAAAGTCACAGGGTCAAAAATCATAGCATGCTAAACGTCTTGTCACAGGTAATGGACAAGTCAAATATGAAAGCTCTATCTCTACTCATTCAAAAGTTATAACAAATGTTAAAATTTATTAAAAGTAGGCCAGGCAACAAGGTCATGAGGTCAAAAATCGTAGTATATTTGGAAAGGGTTTGTCACAGGTAATGTGAATAATGTGAAATATGAAAACCCTATCTTTTCTCATTCAAACGTATGAGGCGCCGTTTTGGTATTAACTCAGTGCTAAAAAGTGATATCACCTATTCGAATAGGTGATATCACCTATCCAATTGGTGATATCACCTATTCGAATAAGTGATATCACCTATTTGAATAGGTGATATTACCTATTTGATTTGAATTGGTGATATCACCTATTTGAAAAGGTGATATCACTTATTCGAATAGGTGATATCACCTATTCAAATTAAATATGTGATATCACCAATTCAAATAGGTGATATCACCTATTCGAATAGGTGGTATCACTTAATCATTTTGAATAGGTGATATCACTTATTCGAATAGGTGATATCACCTATTCAAATTATTTATGAAATAACAACTGCTCCCAAGACTATAGCATTTAATTCTCATTTACTTTCACTTTCGTTTTATAACTTACCGTTCTTGGAGACGATGGATTTCAGCTTCGCATTTAGTTTTAAGCACCCCAGTAGATCTTGTAGTTTTTTTTGCTCACAAATTATATTTATTACACTTATCTATCATGTATACTATAGGAAAAATCGTGAAAATCGCATAATAAGTATTAACTGTTCCATACGGAAAATGCCCCACCTTACATAATAAAGAGAGAAAGGTATGCCACTCTGTTAAATTGTATCCCATCTTGGTATAATTTATAAAATTTATATAACTTTACAGGGGTTGATAACATAAGGTATCTAAAATGTCTCAATTACAGAGGAAAACGGGGAAGCCCGAATTTGCTTGGTTCCAATGGAAATCTAGATAGTCTTGAGGAAGGGAGCATTCATTATTTATTATTGTAAGCATATCACCTATTCAAATTGGTGATATTACCTATTCAAATTGAATAGGTGATATCAAATATTGGAATAGGTGATATCATTTATTAGAATAGGTGATATCACCTATTCAGCACGAATAGGTGATATCACCTAGTCGAATAGGTGATATCACCTATTCATTTCCAATAGGTGATATCACTATTCGAATAAGTGATATCACCTATTCGAATAAGTGATATCACGTAATCTAATAGGTGATATCACCTATTCAATTTGAATGAGTGGTATCACTTATTCGAATAGGTGATATCACCTATTCGTATAGGTGATATCACCTATTCGAATAGGTAATATCACTAAATGGCAATAAATACCAAAACGGCGCCTTATACAAACGTTATGTTTGACCTACTTTTTGAAAAGTAGGTCAAACTTCAAGGTCAAGGAGTAAAAAATCATAGTATGTTTGGAAAGGTATTGTCACAGGTAATGTACGTAAGAAATGTAAATGCCCTGTCTTTTCTCATTCAAAAGTTATGACCAATGTTAAAATTTTTGTGGCAGACTGTCAATTAAAAATGAATGAGATTTAATGCATGGCCGTAGGAACCGGGGGGCACGGGGGGCCGTGCCCCCCAATAATTTTGCCGATATATAGATTACTATAGTAAACCTTAGATACTATATGCTTATATGCTTGCGCCCCCTCAATAAAAACGTCTGATGACCTTTTTTTTTCTTTTGGTAGTTGATGACCTTTTTTTCTGCTTGTCGGGAAATTGTTGGTAGTGCCCCCTCAACTGAAAATGTATGGCTGTGCCCCCCCCCCCCCAAAACTAAAATTGCTTCCTACGGGTTTGTAATGTCCCCTCACGGAGGACAAAAATGTCAAATGACTTTTTTTTTGACTCGCGCAAGGCTCTACCTTGATAATATACATCAAAGGAAAATTTCACAGAACAACACAGGCCCTTGAAATGTTGAACCCCCCCCCCCCTCCAAAAAAAAACAAACAAAAAACAAAAAAACACGTGCACATTTTGATTTAAAAAAAATAGTAAGAGCTTATGGACCCCAGAAGGGAAAAAGAGGTAAGGCCGACCAAAAACAACATGGAGGCGAAATGTTGAAAAAGAACTGAAGGAAATGAATCTTACCTGGTGAGAGGTGGAGAGGACAGCTACGAACAGAGAAGAATGGAAATCCCTATAGTCCTTGCCCCATGTGCCTCCGGATGCAACAAGGACTATAGGAACATGTAGGTAGGTAGGTATAGTAAGAGCTCATAATTTCTCAAAAATATGGGATTTCTCCGTCAACCATAGTTATCCATATTTTTTTCTATGCAAGCAGATTCAGGTGCGAATCCAGGAATTTTTTCCAGGGGGGGGGGGGGTCCACCCAAGTCAAAAAAAATTCCAATCCAGAAAAAAAATTCTTGACAAGCAAAAAAAAAAAAAGAAAAAGAAAAGAAAAAAAAAGGAAAAAACGTAAAAATTTCTTTTCCGAACGTGAAAAACTTTTGTGGTGGTGGTGGTGGTGGGGTCTACGTGTTCGGGGGTGGGGTGGGGGGTCCAAAGTCATTTTTTAATCAGTTTCAGTATACATGTATACTTTTAATAGCTCTGCAAATTCAAGGAGGTGGGCGGGGTCCGGACCCCCCACCCACGACCCCCTCTAGTTCCGCGCATGTGATTGTACTTTTTCTCAAGTTTAGAGATTGGCCATGTACGATATAAAATTACCGTACATGGCCAATCTCTAAAACTTAAGGAAAAGTACAACCTACATGTACTTGCATACAACGACATATGGATGTGATTACATGACTTAACCACTACATGTAGCAAAGGCCATGTGTTGAACGGCGAGAAATATTTTGTACCACCTTTTATAGGAAACTGAATTCATAATTGTTCAAATCAAATTCACATTGAAAATTTTCAAGAAGTTTTTTCATTTAAAAAAATTATTTAGGGTAATTTATTTATAAATACTGTTGAAGAAAGAAATTAAAAAGAAGTTGAAAGATAATTAAGATTCTGATTTCAGGAATTAAAAAAAAATCACCTGCCAGTGACCATTATTAATTTGTGTCAGATTCATTAAAAAGCTTACCTTTTCAGATTATTTCATACAGAGGGTAAGAAAAATGTGATGAAATTTTACTAGAAAATTAAGTTTAAAATCTAATATTTTCAATGCATTACACATTACCATTTAATACCCAAGGTCTGAACCGTGTTCGAAATCCTCTTTCACTACAATCCTTGATCAACTCAACATCTATACACTAATGAAAAAAAATGGACTTAAAGAAAATTATATCATATAAAAATGAAATTATTAAGTTGATTCATTTACGGTACATGCCATTCTTCCCCAAGAAAATGTTCTCGGGCAACAAAGTATTGTTGACCAGAAATCACCGTTTTTTACTTGGGCCTACATAAGGAAAACACATGCCAATAAAGCATTCAGTAACTTCGTTTTGCCCTAATATAATGCTTAAGGATGTCCAATACTCAGCCAGGAAGGATAACTCTTAATTTTTTTATTTTATTTAAAAAGTTTCAAAATGAAGCTTGAAATTAAGATCTTTTCGTGCAACAATTTTCATTTTATGCATCTCAATATGATTCAAAGTTCTTTGAAGTCTTAAACTTAGAAACGGTCATGTAAAAGTTGACATTTGTACCCCATAAAAGAAAATAATAAATTCATTTTTTAGAGAAATCGAATTTCCTTTAATCTAGCATTAGATACCAATGCTTATTACACGGCCACCAATCGCTCTAACTCATATCCGAATGATATGAAAAGGTTTTCGTTAGCGGGACTTCCGGATATGCGTTGGAGAGACTTTTTATCTTCGCCTCGGCGGTAAGTTGAGCTCTTTTTCTTGTATTTTAACCCTTTTTTACAAAACAAAGAATGTGATTCGACCCATTTTATTGAGTTGTTGCTTCACTATGAATTGTTTGGGCTGAATTCTGTGTTGTAATGACGCCAGAAAGTTTATTCTGCAAGTTTCGTCAAACAAATCTATCCCGGGGGGTACCCGTCGTGTCTGCGATCAACTAAAACAAAGCTAATAAGCGATTGTGATACATTTTATTTATGTCAATTTGTCCCCCAAGGATCCTAAAACACATTGACATAACATAGGCTGTCCTTTATTAATTTTAGGGGTGGCTATGAATGAAAAAAAAACATGATATGAGTTAGCAGGACCAGATATGAGTTAGTGGTACATGATATGAGTTAGAAAAAAATCATAACGGGTATAATCTTCAAACGTGTTTAGCAAGAGGCACTGATTATCGTTTTTGAAATTGGATGGGGGCTGGCCATGGAAAAAAAATTGAAAACTTATATGAAAAAAAAGTTCAAGCAACATTAAAAAAAAATGGATATTATCCAAACTCGAAGGTGGGCAGGTTCCAACTTCTTTCACAACCAAATTTTATTGATACTTTATCCTGACTTAACTTTACTGCAACAAAAAGTATTTGGGGCAACACCACTTCAGTGAGCATTTGAAACTGTTGAAGGTAAATTTGGGGAAAGGGGGGGGGGGCTTAATTGATACTAGAAACCAGAGCAATAATTTTTATCACGCTGACCATTCATGCCAGGAATAATAAATGAGTGCTTGTTAAGTCTTAATACTAGAAGTATTGACAACAAAATCGCAAAAGAATTATTTAAATTCCAATCTCATTGAACTTGATGCTACTGTTCGAATTGGATCTTAACCAATTACTCCTATTTAGTAAGGCCTATAAAATAAAAATAATTTGTTTGCAAGTTGCCTACCGACCCAAACTATCTTTCCAGTCATTTTTTAAAATGAATTTTTTTTACTGGTTAGTTACAAGTTTTTATGAAATTGAGACTAATTCACTTTCTATTTTTGATTTTTGTATTAGTCAATGAAAGACTTAAAATAAGTGAAGCATTTAGAAACCCCAAGAAAATTCCTTTGATTTGTTTCAACCAAAAAACTGGAAACGTAATTAAATTTTTCAAAATAAAATTAAAAAAAAAACATTCCTTCCTATCTATCAGCTCAAAGTTAAGGTCGACAACTCCAAACTAAGAATTGTTTAGACTTAGCCTAAAATGTGTTCCCTTTACTCGGGTTTCTCAGGTCGGGTTGAATTATTTTAGGTTTAGTTAGGTTGAATTATTAAAAAGAAATAGTTGAATTGGTTTAGCACTGTTGTCATTGTTTTTATAAGATTAAACAATTTTGCGACTTATTTATTGAATTTGTTTTACTTCACTCAACTATCAGGGCTGGTGATCACTCGTAGAATGTGCAGTTGATATTTAATATGATAGTTTGTCAACTATTAGCAAGTTTTGGTCTCTCCAGGCAGTCCACTGTCAGGGGAGTTCGTTGATAATGTAATTTCCACCCCCACCCCCCCAAAATCAAATTTTACATTTTTTAATATTGAGACAAATAGCTTGTGTTTTCACTCTCCATTTTCAAAGTGAATCATTTATAAATATTATATATATATATATATATATATATATATATATATATATATATATATATATATATATATATATATATATATATATATATATATGATAATTTTATTTCTTTCAGAATTGATGAAAGATGGCGAGAAAATATTATCATTGTAAACAGTGTACCGCTAAATATACTCAAGCAGGGAAACTTGCCTATCATAGAAAGACATTACATTTGGGTCAGAAAGCAGTTCTAATACAAATGTCTGTACTGTGAGAAAACGTTCACGCTGAAAAACAGCAAACATCGACACTAATTGAGTACTCATTTGGGAGAAAAGAAGTTTAAATGTAACAAATGCGACTTCGCTTGTACAACGGCATATCAACTAAAAGGCCACAGAAGATCAAAACATAACATTTTCAATTTGCATTGTAATAAATGCAACAAAAAATACTCGTTTGAACATAGCTTAAATGAACACAAACGAAGGTGCAGTAACAGTGCAGATGGAGAATCCTTTAACCTGTCCAAGTGCGATACTTGTGATGCAACATTTTCAACAAAAAGAGCAATGAAATTACATATAAAAAGTGCTCGCCAAGGCCGCATGTACGTGTGCGAGATGTGTGGAAAATGTTAACAAATATCCAGCTGCACTCAGTCGTCACTCAAAGGCTCATCACGTGTAAAATGATTACCTCTGATATTGTTTTTTTTTATTATTATTATTTTAGTTTTGTTATTGATTTTTATGTACATGCATGTTGAAAAGACTTTCATTTATGTTTGATTTATCTTTCATTTACATGTATCGATCAATCGATCGACCGACAGAGAGTTTGTAAGTGATTGTTTCTAAAAAATTCTGTTTTAACTTTCCATATTTTATTTTCAAGTTTATTTTTTGTACATCAAATATCTCAGGGAGAGAAAATATTTGAAAATATTTGAATAAATACATAAACAATGTGTTTTACTTTATTTTAGTTTTTGCAATACAACACAAAACGTGTATATTACTCAAATTATTGAATCATAGTGTACTGGTAACAATAGCAATCAAAATGTGTCCAATTTAATGCCAAGTCTTTTGGAAGGGTGTATCTTTGCTTCATTTACTTTATATCCATGTCAGCTTCGTATCGGTAAGTCTCCTCTTGTAGGTTCATTCATGGTTTTTCTAGGCGCCGCATTTTTCTATCTTTTTCTCTGCTGTCAAAGAAGTGGTCTCTGGAAAAAAAAAATAATGCCTTCGAAACACCAATCTTCACTTTGAATATTAATCAAACAGGTTTAGGAAAAATGTCTTAATGATAATGATGTTGACTTGTAGAATATTATATCGACTTTTCAGAAAATTATTTCGACTTGTCAGATAATATATCGACATATCAGATCTTATGTTGACTTGTCAGATACTATGTCCACTTACCAGAAAAATATTTTGTCACCTGACGGCCTGAATTAAGCATGGACACATTTTCATATTGATTTTAAACTCGTGAATAAGTGACAAGCTAACGAAAAGATCTGACAAATTGATGTAGCTATCTGACAAGTTGAGGGGGGGGGGCAGAAATATTCACCATAGCTTAATCCCTATCACAAAATAAATTTTATTACATTTCTCAGCAGTTTACCAATTTTGATGCTCTATATAGGTATGCATATTTCGAATGTTAATTTTTTTCAGCAGTGCTTGATTACCAAAATATTGCCAGTATAAAGCATAAGACCTGAAGAAAAGCATAAATATACATTTAGTGAACATGTGGGCATGTCTAAAACAGTCGAGTACAGATTTCTGTATGAGGTACTCCATGCAACAGGGAACCATACATATTTAAAAGCTTCATATTCTCATTTTTCTATTTTTTTTTTTAATTATGATGTTATCTTTATGTTTCAAATGCTGTATGAATGATCATATAGCAAGAAAAAATGGGGGGGGGGGGGATGGGCAAGTAGCACCTTAATTAAAATTTACGTGCTAAAATTACAGTAGAAGACTATTTTCAGAAAAAGCCCCCCCCCCCCCCCCCGCGTACTTTAGAGACAGTTTACTCCTCGGACTTTTAAAGAGGGTTGATGATTTAGGAGAAAGCATGCACTTCTTTGCAGCCGGTGATTTCAATGGTGATCGGTCAATTAATGACCGTTTTCTGTTATAATACGAGGAAACTTTTACTCGATCGTGATATGGCTATCCCTTTTCTGCGTTTGCCTTTGAAAAGGCCCATATTGAAACCTGAAATTAGATGAATTCTAATGTTCAGCAGAATAAGAAATCGCTGTATTTTAACTGATTCAGTCCAAACATGGCAATAGCCAAATGACAATGAAAAAATAGCCTCGATGACCGACAATTAATAACCTGAAACAAGAAATATTTTAGATACATTTACACCCCCCCCCCCCTTTTCCATGGTGACAACCAATGTATCCAATTTAAATTTAGAATGATAGTGAAATCATAATACCTGAAATATGGCTTTATTCAAATTCGTGTGTGGTATAGTTGAACATAATAGTAAATTATCTAGCATTCTATTTTGCTTCTCTAACTCATATCATGTACCGCTAACTCATATCTGGTTCCGCTAACTCATATCATGTTTTTTTTTTCATTCATAGCTATCGCTTAAATCAAAAAAAGGACAGCCTATGTTATGTCAAAGTGTTTAACGATCCTTTAGGGACAAATTGACATAAATAAAATGTATCACAATCGCTTATTAGTCCCCTACCGGTGAAACCGGAGGGGACTATAGGTTTCCTCTGAGTCTGTCCGTCCGTCTGTCTGTCTGTCCCTCTGTCTGTCTGTCAGTCTGTCCCACTTGGTTTTCCGCACTTTTTTCCTAAACGCTTGCAGATATTGAGCTGATTTTTGGTATGCGAGTGTATCTTGATGAGTTACAGATCAAGTTTGCATTTCGTTCCGCTTCATTGATTTTTGACGGAATTACGGTCTTTTCAATTTTTACGGGTTTTCCGCAATTTTCTTCTAAACGCTTGTAGATATTGAGCTGATTTTTGGTATGTGGCTTTACCTTGATTAGTTACAGATCAAGTTTGCATTTCGTCCCGCTTCATTAATTCTTGTCGGAATTATGGCATTTTCAATTCTTAACGGGAACAGAACCAGATTACACTTGCCGGTAGGGGACTAGTATTGCTAATGCAATACTCTCAGAATGCTTGTTAGCTTTGTTTTAGTTGATCGCAGACACGACGGGTACCGCCGGGTTAGATTTGTTTGACGAAACTTGCAGAATAAACTTTCTAGCGTCATTACAACACAGAATTCAGCCCAAACAGTTCATAACGAAGCAACAACTCAATAAAACGGGTCGAATCACATTCTTTGTTTTGTAAACAAGCATTCTGAGAGTATTGCATTAGCAATACTAGTCCCCTACCAGCAAGTGTAATCTGGTTCCGTTCCCGTTAAGAAATGAAAATGCCATAATTCCGTCAAAAATTAATGAAGCGGGACGAAATGCAAACTTGATCTGTAACTAATCAAGGTAAAGCCACATACCAAAAATCAGCTCAATATCTACAAGCGTTTAGAAGAAAATTGTGGAAAACCCGAAAAAATTGAAAAGGCCGTAATTCCGTCAAGAATCAATGAAGCGGAACGAAATGCAAACTTGATCTGTAACTCATCAAGATACACTCACATACCAAAAATCAGCTCAATATCTGCAAGCGTTTAGGAAAAAAGTGCGGAAAACCAAGTGGGACAGACTGACAGACAGACAGAGGGACAGACAGACAGACAGACAGACGGACAGACAGACAGACAGACAGACAGACGGACGGACAGACGGACGGACAGACTCAGAGGAAACCTATAGTCCCCTCCGGTTTCACCGGTAGGGGACTAAAAAGGGTTAAAATACAAGAAAAAGAGCTCAACTTACCGCCGAGGCGAAGATAAAAAGTCCCTCCAACGCATATCCGGAAGTCCCGCTAACGAAAACCTTTTCATATCATTCGGATATGAGTTAGAGCGATTGGTGGCCTGTATTAGCAAGATATGGAATTAGACGTAATATGTGATGTCATGCAATGATAACACAAGCTTTTTACACTATGTATTATATAACAAAGAGAAGATCTTAAATGCATGTACTGTATATAAGCGAGAAAAAAAAGCAAAACAAAACGATGCAATTTCCTCCAAATGCCTGGATACCTATATTCTTTTTTATCCTGAATTATATTTGTTGATCAATTTTCAACTAGAAAATGCTTAGCTGGTGTTTTTATTCGCATTTCCTGAAAATATATTTGAGATTTGATAATTTCCCTATATAATATGATTATATAACTATAATGATGAACTTTGAAGAAATACCATGGGTAAATTCACGTTACTATGTGAAATCATATCAGAGACATTTTTGTGAGCATTTTCAATTACTGAAAGGCTGATTTTCAGAACCTGAGGATCGGACTACCTTGAATTACTCGAATGGATCACAACTGTGTACTACACTAGATTTTTAAATCAAAGGGCAGATCACTTTAGCTACTTACAAGTACCATGAAATTAGAATTATGTGCAGTGTATAGAGATTTCTTAAGTACACATTAAGTAGAAGTGATCAGCCTTGGTCAATTAATTAATTTTGTTTTGTTCATTAACATACTTAAAGAGGTTCGATCCTGATCTTTTGAGCAGATTTTTGTCTGGACCTTTATTCCTAAAAATCTGCATCATATTTTAGTTCTTGCATTAATTTTGGATTCTAAAATGCAAATTAAACTATAGTCAATTAAAAACCCACGAATAAATTCCATATAAAAATCATTAATTGAGGAACTATATTTGATGGAAGGTATTTTAGAAGAAAATGATCAATTTTTCTCCTTCAAAGTATTTACAGCACTGTTAAGTTTGGATTCCTATTTTCCCATGCACGTTGCACACAGAGTTATTTTGTGCAGTGAAATGTTTTATGCTGGTCCTTCAATATTTATTCAATTAACTTTTATGAATTCTATCATCATAGTGTGACAAATATAGTAAGTATATTATGAAAATCCACGAAATATTAGGGCCAGTTTTAACTTAAAATTAACACTTTTTCAGTAATATCTAAAAATGTATGTCATAGACCCCCACTTTTGATTTTCTTTTCTGAATATATGAGATAACTTTGATCATTCTGCGAAGTAATTTGAAACCTTTTCTTTCTTACAATTTTTAATGTGTCCTTTCAAGATAGAATAAGAGTATATTTGGTCCCATTTTATTTGGATAAATTTATATTACAGGAAAAACTACGAAGTGATTTATGTCTAAGACACAATTTCAGTGCAAAAAGGTCATATTAAATATTCTGTAGTGTCAAAAGAATTGTATTGGCCCCCATTTTTTGTTTTAAGACTTTTGAAAGCAGGATCCTCCCTCCTTGAATGAGCTGATGTGTGGATAGTGTAACCCCCCTTCCCCCAAATCTGGGATATTTTTAAGACATAATTAATAATGTATCAAAAATATATGAACTCCTAGAATATCATGCCTAAATTATTAGTCCCCTACCGGTGAAACCGGAGGGGACTATAGGTTTCCTCTGAGTCTGTCCGTCCGTCTGTCTGTCCGTCTGTCTGTCTGTCCCTCTGTCTGTCCCACTTGGTTTTCCGCACTTTTTTCCTAAACGCTTGCAGATATTGAGCTGATTTTTGGTGTGTGAGTGTATCTTGATGAGTTACAGATCAAGTTTGCATTTCGTTCCGCTTCATTGATTTTTGACGGAATGACGGCCTTTTCAATTTTTACGGGTTTTCCGCAATTTTCTTCTAAACGCTTGTAGATATTGAGCTGATTTTTGGTATGTGGCTTTACCTTGATTAGTTATAGATCAAGTTTGCATTTCGTCCCGCTTCATTAATTTTTGACGGAATTATGGCATTTTCAATTCTTAACGGGAACAGAACCAGATTACACTTGCCGGTAGGGGACTAGTATTGCTCATGCAATACTCTCAGAATGCTTGTTTTATATCTGATACTAGTTCTCATTTTATTAAGTTTCAGAGATTGTCCCTCTGCATGTATATCCATAAAGGAACAAAAATGAAAATATCACACTGTTGATATTATATGCTATATAGGATAAAAATGAATTTTTTTTATAAATTACTGGGAGGGAGGGGTTACACAATCCATATGTTAGATGCCTGTGCAAAAATAACTGGGTATATAGAATGAACTCCCTAAAAAAATTATACTCTAGTCTACCTTTGAACTACTACACTGTACCAATAAGGAAGAATACACAATAGACACGTCTGTGTGATAATGTTTTTTCCATACTTATTCACAACTTAATGTTTTTAAATGAATTGCAAAATATAATGACTGCTTAAAATTCTGATTAAGTAAGCTAACATTATAACTGCATGTATTAATAAACAATTCATTTATTATTCTTTTCTTAAAATATGATTACATTCTTAAAACAGATCTTTCTTTTTTTTTTTATTAAAACTCTATGCATTTCATGTACCATTTATCATTCAGAATTCATAATATAGAGTGTAGTGCTCTCATCTTTCAAATTACAAGTAAATGTATATCTGGGATGGACCATATCTGCTTTCTTTTTCCTACACTATAACTTCTTTTGTGTTAGCAATGATGTAGAGTTCATAGCATGACGGCAAATCATATAATGCAAACCTGCATGGCTTCCTGAAAACTCCTCAAAACTTTGATATCCAGAGCAAACGTTTAGTCTAACCATACAGGTATTTCAGCTATATATCTGAATATTAAGAAATGTGTATTGACTGAATATTTTTTATCACAGTATCACTGCTTGCACCCCTGCATCTAGTTTGATAACTTCTCCATTCACATATGGATTGTCAATTATTTTCTCACAAAGATGGTAGAATGTTTGTGATGAACCAAGTTTATGAGGAAATGCCATTAAACTACAAAACTTTCGCTCTCTTTTCTTAGGCCATCCCTCTGGTATTTGGTAGTCTAAAAACCCTGTAAACAAAAACGAAAGAAATTCTATTCATTTTTATCCAATATTAAATCATTTTGAAAAGGTATATCTTATGCTTAATCCTAGGCCTATATGACAGAAATATGGAAGTATTACTTGACATTTTTAACATTTTCTTTATGATTGAAAAATTAATGTAACAGCATGCAGGCTTTCAAGGGGTTTCAATAATATCGAAATGAAAAGGTGAATTTATTCCTTTTAAGAGGCTTTTTTAGAACTATTTCCAATAATTTTGCCAATTATGAAATTTGAAGCAGAGAATTCTGATCATTGAAACGATGAAAAATCACCTCTTGCCTCTCCTCATTGAAAGCCTTGGCATGTTTGTACTTGAAAAACAAATGTCATTTCAAGACAAAAGGAGCAAAACTCCTTCTAAAGATGACATTAAATGATCTTACAATGATTGATTTACCCACGGATGAAAGGTGATAATAGGAATGAACTAGTCAAGGTTGGTGAAATTTTGTTACTCTACAATCCAGATAGCTGTCTGGCCAAAATACTAAAATAAATAGGGATGAAACGATACGCCTCCTTCACGATATGATACATATTGTATAATTTTGTGTTGGTACGGTTATTTTCGATATGATATATTTTGATAGAAAAAATTTCAACATTGTTTTATGTTTTGTTTCAATAAATCCTGTCACTAAATCTAAGTGCAAACTGACTGGAAGAAATTGATTAGAATGATCTGACTGTTAAAGATTATTTTACAAACTACCAGTCCTAAAAAATTTACATTTTAAAAATTAAATTATGCCGAGTAGCATGGGTTTACTTATACCAAACCCGACTGCATAATGATCCTGACCAAAATATGAACCAAACCGAAAATGGAGAATTTTTACCATGTATCAAACCCAGAAAAAAAAATAATGTGGTGAATGGATACCACAGTGAACCGTTTCACCCCTAAAAATAAAATTCAACTACTTAAACTGAAGTCACCTGTTGCAATACTGTTGACTCTTATACCCAGATCGTTAAAATCCCTGGCCATTGGAAGTGTCATTCCAATTATCGCAGCCTGGGACATGGTGTAAGGAACTAGGGAACTTCCAAATCCTAAAGTGTGAGACTTGTTGATGATTACCCCTCTTTGTCCATTTGAGTCAGGTTCATTTTTAGACATCAGTCCAGCACTTAGCCTACATACATTAAATGTGCTGGTCAAATTTTCCTGCAAAAAATGTAATCAACTTCATGGAAAACATGAAAAAATTTTAATGGGGGATGAATATCATAGTACTTGCAGTAAATTACGAGTAACCATGTACTGAATTAAATGAGTAAATTATCTCAGAAATTACTATGCAGCTAATTAGTAATTTGCATGAACAATGAAGCCATTTATGCATTTACTGTGTGCTCCAATAAAACCTAGATAGTTACATCTTACAAATACATTTTAATCTACATGATATTAGAAAATATTCTCTTGCATTTACTTAGACGGCATGCACTAATATATATATTTTAATCATAAAATACATGTGATTGGGCTGTAATGATTCATATTGATAAATTGTTTTGATACAAACCCTTAAAAGTTTCTCCATAAACTCCTCTGTTAACTTTTCTCCCCTGGTTTCAGTTTGCGTGTTTTCATGTGAATTTTCTCTCTCTATCTGAGATTTGATATGAATTTTGCTAGTCCTTGCATAACTCGGGCAATTGATCGTAACATCAAGTTTTCCAAACTTCTCTTCCGTCAAATTTATTGCCTTCTCAACATCTTCTTCTTTTGTTAGCTAAAAGAAGTGCATAATAAATCACAATTATATCGAAAGTACATGTATGCCATAACATAAAAATTCTCTCTTTATAAACCAAGCATTTTCTAGCTTAAAGACGTACAACACACTGGGGGAGATAACTCTTGGGATTTCAATAAAACGTTTAACATAACGTTAATTTGACGTTAATTATGAAGCATCAAAATGACGAGCGATACGATCCCGATGTAATTAATGTAAAAAAAAAAGAATAGAGGTTTTTATTGTGGTTTCTTTAGGAATACCAAATCCTATCCTTGATCATTTGCGCAATTGCAATAAATCCCCTCCTCCATAAAAAAGAAAAAAAGACAGTACATTCCTTCTTTAATTTAAATTTAGTTAATTAATTCTTTAATATTGTATTTATGATATACACAAAGGTAATGTTTTAATCAAAAATGTTAATGCTACTCTACATTGCTTTGTCCCCTTACAATCAGCCGCATAACACTGAGAAAAAAATATTACCGGTATGTCTAAATATTATCATATTACGAAAATAAACATTTTCTTGCTTTTCTTTTCTTTGAAAAAAAAAAATGAAAAAGAGTAACCGTTTTCAGAAGGTCACTGATCAAAGAAAAACAACTCTAAAAATGTAGCGGTGTATGTCTTTCCTCCCCTTAGCTGAGTTATTCCTCCTGTTTTCTGAAGAATTATGGTTTTTTCCCCTCACAAATACACAAATACATTTACAGTGTGTTGCAAGGAACACAAGAACTGAAAGCCAAAGTTTATACAAATTAAAGTAAGTATCAACAGTGAAAAATTATTTATTGAAATTAAAACAACGGTTGCACCCCACTGAGAAAATCTTTTTCTGAAAATAGTTTTAGATCGCATTTCCTTGAATAAAAAAAAAAAAACGATTGATACCAATGTAGATGATACCATTGTAGATGATTCAGGCACACGAATAATTTTAATATTGATAAATAATTTACAATTTGGTAAAATTGAAGTTAATATGGACGAAAACATCATTTCCATTTATTGAAACAATAGAAGGATACAATAGGGGGGGGGGGGGGGGGGGGGGTATCACCCTCTCGTTTGAAAACAGAAATAATTAAAAACCTACACGTACATATATTCCATTTTCATCACAAGAGAGTTGTACCTACATACACCACTGTTGGTTCACTTAAAAAATAATATTCAATGCAAGTAGAAGTCATATAAAGGTTTGAAACTGCACCTGTGTGCATGAACGCCAAACCGGACACGTGGTCATAAAATCCTTAGATTTTTACTAAATATAAATATAAAAAAAATAATATTTAGAATAACAAAAAATACTAGTAGTCAATATTTAATCTGTATACACGAATGAAGGACATTACTTTGGGAGTTCAATATGCAATTATATATATTATGCAGACGTAACCGATGTTTGTTTTTTTTCAAGCTCGAATGTCCTGCATTGCAGAGAATAATGGAGGGGGGGGGGGGGGGTCTTAAAATTTCAGAAATTGCTTACTCATCTTCATTTAAATGCAGATGTAAAGTTATATATTTGTGATAAATATAATGTACATTACATTTATTAAGTAAAAGATATTTTCCAGCTAGGAATTTTTATCTGTATTTGTAGATTCATAGCATTGCTTTCGTTCCAAGTCTCAGACGCTGTGAGAAACGTAACTTACGGAGAGAGGGGGAGGAGAGCTTTTCCGCTATAAATTCAAAACACGTTGCTTAAAAAAATTTCAAAAAATTATCAAGAACATTTTGATCATCAGTTACAAGAAGTAATTATTTTTTTCAAAATTAAACGACAGATTTTTTCATTAAAAAATATTTCATTTGAAAATCATGCATTTTTCAATGCAAAAATGAACCATAGTTTTTAGGTTTAGATTCTTCAAAATCGTTTTTCTGGAAATGTACCTCTACAAATTCACTTTGTTTGTGTGTTTAATAGTTAAACGAACGATTCGGCAAATTTTGACAGCTAGGCTAACCTTAAATATTTTGAAATAAGGGATTTTATAGTTAGTTGGTTGAAATTTTTTTGTACTCGTGATCAGCCAAAGGGGGGTAACTTTAGGAACTTCCTGTCCAATTTCTGCTTGAACGATTTTGACCAAAATGTACATACACATAGTAGATATAGTCATGTATAAGATATACAAAAATAGCGAAAATTAAACGACAGGAAATTTTTGGGGTAGGTGTGTTGTACATCCTTAAAGGGGGAGTAATTTTACCTCATACTGATTTTCTTTACAATATACAAGTACGCATATCACAAATTCCTATCAATTAAAACAGCATTTATGTATGCAACTGATCTTTATCCCAATATAAATGGGAGGCTTCCACTAAATCATAACCTGTCCACATCTCAACTTACATCTGCAGTAAAAAACAAGCAGTTATTTCTTCCCAAACTCTCTTGTATTTCTTCTCCTGCTTCTGTGTCTGTGTCACATAAAACAACTCTCCCTCCTCTCTGAACAAAGTTTTCTGCACATATTCTTCCTAGATTTCTAGAACCATTCGCAATTAGGAAAACAGTACCCTGTAAACGAATTGACATAAATGTACAATGTAAACAACACTTTACGTTCGAATTGTCTCCAATTTGAAACAAAATTGTACCTTTCTATACCTAAAATTGGACTTGCAAAAAAAAAAAGGAATCGATCGACCACTAAAAATGTGTAATGGTTAAATTATAAAATTGATATCTTGTTATATTACAAGGGATTTCATGTTCTAACCTTAAATTTTGACACAACCGAGGCCATGGACACGATTCACATGTGGGCAACAAATTTAGTAACTTGTACTTATAATATTCGTGTAAATAAAAAACAAATTTCTTCATGAACAATTTTTAATAAAAATTTCAGTTTCTGGATGATCTATTATTTACATATCCGAATTTATCCATAAAGACTTCATATACTATGCCAATTAAAGATATCGCGAGGCCAAAACCAACACAAGTAGCGTAGGAGTTATTTAAAATAAAAGATGGCTGCGCCCATATATGGTGAAAGCAAAATTCTCATTGAAGTGTATCTGTTACAAAAAAGACTACATATCTCTCCTTTTCTTCCTGTACAGTAAAGGATTGTAATTGGATTATTTTCTCATTCGAAAGGTTAATCTACATTTAGTTCCCTAGGCACTTGGGTAAAGGATAATGTATATTTTCTATGTAATGTATTTTTGAGGAAATTCGAACTGAACTTGTAACTTTTTTTTTCGTGCACAGTATAAATTTTTAGTTTTTTTTTTGTAAATCTTTCTGCTTGATATACACTAGACTGCCACAGAAATTTGATATTATGCACGTTTTAAAAATGAAATATCCCATACAGCAGAGAAAAGATATGATACAATCAGAAAATGCTATATCATGAAAATGACATACATATCTAACTTTGGAGCGAGCATAGATAAGCTAAGTTTATTGAATTTCATTTTCGGGCAAAGAGGGCATAAAAATAAAGACAGTTCACAGGGGCTTGCTCCCGGCATGTAAAAATTATTTATTTTAAAAAAATCATATACGTTAATACTAAAACTACAGTTTTAGTATTAACGTATATGATTTTGTAACGTGTTTTGGGTCCGATGATTTGGACCAGTCTGGGAGGATGTATAAAAATGATCAAAATTACAAGAATTATGTACAAAAGCTAATATAAGAACGAGTCAATATATACATATACATATATCTAGGGTTATCTATCCCTTTAATATAAAAACTAATAACAGGTAATTTCTTAAGGACAGGGCTCTGTCCTGTGTATCTGTCCGTGGGACGTGTCTCTGGGATGTGTTCTGTAGGCTTTGTCCCAAGACGGCTGTGTCCTTTTGATCTTATACAGGCTGCAGCCAGGTACTAGATATATATCCACCGCTCGTATATACAGTTAAATGCCACTGTATTTTCCGTAACAAGCTAGAAAACACAATACAACACTGGGCAGTTGTATTTAACACTATAATTCTTTTTATTAACTCTAACCACCGTACCTGCTAGCAACCTTCTCCTTCGACAGCCAAACACAGAATGACAATTTTACCTCGGATGCGCTCTTATATATACACCAGCGACACCCGGATTAACCTCGGCTTCCATCATACCCCTAATGATAAAGCCCGTCTATAATTGAATCCCGAGCCCGATCGTCACATTACCCACGCCTCAATGTATCATGTGTCCCCACATGACAAAATAATAACATAAACATTTTTTTTTTCTTTTTTTTTTTTTTTTTATATAACAGATGAATGATCAAACATGAGATATATGATGAGTGATGAGTATTTATCACCTTCCTGGTGATTATGTATCATTATCTAGCAAACATGAAATTATACAGAATGTCTACAAATGTTCTCTGATGACTATTCACCATTTACATATCAAAAAGTTCTTCACTTTCTCTAATACGCTTGATTCTCTGTCCGTTCTCATTGTACTTAGTTACAGTCACCTCTTTCACCCGTCGATGATATCCCTCTGTCTGAGTACTCTGCTCTACAAGTTTGGTCTGCCTTATTACTGGGTCAGGCATGGTAGAAAGTGTCTGGACGCCTACTTCTACACACTTCCTCTGTACCAATTCCTTCTCTTGATGGGTAACTTTTCTGGAAGTTTGGACTGGACTTGGAGCTGTTCTCTTGCGGACAATGCGACCTGTGATTAACTCCTCACTATGAACAGAAGATGGTCCAGCCCCCGTTTCCTTCTCTACGGTTTCGATCCTATCCTCCCCAATCTGTACTTCGGGATCCACATCCCAGTCACTATCCTCGCTTTCTGCTACTTCTTTTGATGATTGGGAGGGAGCATCGGGATGTTTTGTCCGCATATGCTTCTGCAAGTACTCCTTTTTCTTAAAGGATACCTGGCATGCTTTACATACTAACATGCTGCTTGCACAACTAACCACGTGCTCTGTCCAAGCTTCTTTACTGTCCAATTCTAAAAAACATACTGGGCATATCTCCTTTGCCTTTCTAGGTGTTAGCTTGGTGTTAACCATCTTTCTTCTGTAAAATTAAATATTCTATTTTAGAACAAGGTATATACATGTATAACTTTTCCAACAAATATATAAGACTCTGACATTAAACTACTACTATATAGAAACAACTACTATATAAAGCATTGGGTTTGGTGCCTATCAGTAAATCAAACAGTTATATACATATGATTTATTTTCACTGCTTTATTTAGCAAATTATTCTGGGACATAGTCCTTCATCCATGCTGGAGCACGTCTATCTCGTTTTGGCTTAATATTTTCAGCCAACTCATCCGTGATCTCTATTTTTGACTGACTGTCATCGATAATCTCGGTCTCAAACTGACCATCTGGTGGCAGTTCTGTACTGACTTCTGTATCAGGCTCAGGACGAATCCGTTCGTCGTCCTCACCTCTCAAGACCTGCGTTTTGCACGCTTTGAGGCGATCACAATGTACAATTTGCTCTTTTCCGTTGCGACCACAGTCAGCTTTATACAGAACTTCTGATATTTTAGCCAATATCTTGAACGGTCCTCGCCAGTAAGATGTGAATTTTGGCGAGCATCCAGCTTTTCGTTGAGGGAAGTATACATAAACTAAATCCCCTTCTTTGAACTTTTCATATGACATTTTCATGTCATAGTAATGTTTCTGTCTAAACATTGCACCTTCTGCATAACGTCTGACCAAAGAATGTGCTCTCTCCATCCGGTCTTTCATGATCCATACCCATTCATTTCTAGGAACCTCTTTCCAAGATGCAGGCATCTCATACATAATATCTAGAGGTGTCGTCACCTCTCTACCTAGCATGAGCATGTTAGGGCTGTAGCCCGTGGATTCATGCTGAGATGATCTATATGCCATCATCACATAGGGAATGCTTTCATCCCAGTCCCGGTGGTTTTCATCCACATAGGCACTTAGCATTATGGCTAGCGTTTTGTTGAAACGTTCCACCATACCATCAGATTGCGGATGGTATGGTGTAGTTCTTGTCTTCCGGATCTGGAGAAGGCCACATACCTCGGTAAAAAGGAGACTCTCATACTGTCTTCCCTGATCGGAATGTATGATATTTGGGCATCCAAATCTACAGATTACTTCGTTGGTGATAATCTTAGCAACTGTTTTTGCTTCCATATTCTGCATAGGAAAGGCCTCGGTCCATTTGGTGAAGTAATCCGAGATGACTAAGATGTATCTGTTTCCGTTTTCTGTCTCGGGAAACTCACCTAGGATATCTGTAGCTATCCTTTCAAATGGAAATCCAACCTGTAAGTGTTGCATAGGGGCTCTTTTCGTTTTCTGAGGAGCTTTTCTTCTGGAACATATGTCGCAACCTGACACGTAGCTTCTCACATCACTCTGTAGACCTGGCCAATAATAATTTTGCCTTATTCTATTGAGTGTCTTCGTGACCCCTAAGTGAGCTGAAGTCTTTGCATCATGCATCTGCTCTAAAATAAGTCTTCTGTGGGATAGGGGAACCACTATCTGATATGTGGTCATATTACTGTCTTCAATCTCCCACATCCGACAAAGCAGATTATCTTTTACTGTGAGTCTACTCCACTGAGCCCAAAGTGACTTCACAAAATAGCTTTCCGAGGATATATCACTAAACTCTGGACGCTTCTCGTTTTGTAACCAAGACTTTACAAGTCTTATATCCTTGCAAACATCTTGCAAAGTAATCCAGTCAGATGATTCATTATTTGCTTGAGCTTCGTCCTCTACCACTCTTGCATGATCTGCAGACATATCCGTCTTGTCCCAGTCATCAAAGTATCCACACTGGCTACAAAGTGCTCTACTGAGTCCATCTGCATTTCCATGCAGTTTACCAGCCCGATGCTCTATCTCCATGTCATAAGTTGATATGACCTCGAGCCAACGAGCCAACTGACCCTCTGGATCTTTAAATCTAAGCAACCACTTGAGCGAGCTGTGATCAGTCCTTACTAAGAACTTATGTCCATACAAGAATGGTCGAAAATGCTTAATGAAGGTAACAACAGCCAGAAGCTCTTTCCGAGTAACGCAATATTTCCTTTCTGACTTACTGAGTACTTTACTTGCGTATGCCACAACCCTCTCTTGACCATTTTGAATCTGTGACAGAGCAGCGCCCATGGCATACTGACTTGCGTCCGTGTCTAGTATAAAAGGCTTAGTAAAGTCTGGGTGCGTAAGAATGGGGGCAGAAGTCAACCGACTTTTAAGGAGATCAAACGCAGTTTGGCACTCATCAGTCCATTTAAATGGAACACATGCCTCTGTGAGTTTATGTAACGGTTGGGCAATTTGAGCATAATTGGCTATAAACTTTCTATAGTAGCTAGAAAGACCAATAAAAGATCGGACTTGGGTCTTGTTCACTGGTACAGGCCACTGCTTTACAATCTCAATCTTTTCCGGATCTGTCTGGATCCCCTGTTCAGAGATTATATGTCCCAAGTACTTAACCTTTTGGGCAAACAAAGTACACTTCCTAGCCTTCAGCTTCAGTCCAGCTGCTAGAAGCTTTTCAAAGACCAATTCTAGATTCTTTAGCATTTCGTCAAATGTCTTTCCGTAAACGATGACATCATCTAAGTATATAAGACAGATCTGCCATTGCAAGCCAGCTAGTACCGACTCCATCAAGCGTTCAAACGTAGCTGGGGCATTACAAAGCCCGAATGGCATGACATTAAACTCGTACAGACCTTGGCGAGTAACAAATGCTGTCTTAGCCTTATCCTGTGGCTCTAGCTCAACTTGCCAGTAACCAGCATTTAAGTCCAAAGTACTAAACCACTTGGCACCACGCAGCTGGTTTAGAGACTCGTCAATACGAGGTAGTGGGTAAGCGTCCTTTGTTGTAACACTATTTAAGCGCCTGTAGTCTACACAGAATCTTGTAGATCCGTCTTTCTTCTTTACTAGTACAATTGCAGAAGACCAAGGGCTTTGTGATGGTTCAATAATACCTCTACGTAGCATGTCAGAAACATGTTCTTGAACCTCTTCTTGCATGTGGAATGGGAGACGCTTTGGTGCCTGTTTAATAGGTGCATTGTTACCTGTTTCTATCTTGTGTCTGACTTTGGCAGTTCGTCCTACGTCCTCATCAGTCTTGGAAAACAGTGATGCATACTTCAGTAAAAGATGTTTGGCTTTTTGTCTATCTTCCTTATCTAAATGACCAGTATTGCTTCTATAAAGCTCTCGCAAATGTAATGGAATATTACTGTTCTCATCAAGATGACAGTTTCTCCCCGGTATCAATGACACAACCTCATCAACTGAGGTTAATTTTCCTACAACAGTTCCAGGGTACATGGTTCTACTATCATCTGAAATATTCATGATACGGATGGGGACCATTTCCTGTCTCCGGACAAGTGCTTTAGCCAGCAAGCAAAAGTCTGACTTAAGAAGTTTCTCAGCTGGCTCTATCAAACCAACTTTAGTCGGAAGTGTTCCATCCGAACTTGCACATATTTGTCCCTCTACCATGACTTCTGATCTAGCTGGTACAGTGATCCTATGTACAATGGCTACCTTATATGAACTCGCCGACCCTTCCAGCTGAATAGGGTGCTCTATGCCTAAGATTGATATCTGATGCCTACGCATGTTAATTATTGCCTCATGCTTTACCAAGAAATCTAGACCTAGTATTCCGTCTACAGTTATGTCAGCTATAATCATCTCATGTTGCAGCTCAACGTCATCCAGCTTAAAATCTACTGGAACTTTCCCCAACACCTTTAGTGTAGTTCCGCTAGCTGATAATACGTCTCTCGTTACCTCAGTCAATGCATAACTTCCTGTCCTTGCAATATTCTCATAACATATTGTAGAAAGCAAAGATACTGTAGCACCTGTATCAATCAACAAGTATGCATCCATTCCATGGATACGGGCAGTAACATAAACCCCTTTCCCGTTAATAGAATTTACAGCCCTAGAGTACTCATCATTTACAGTATGATCTTTCTTTAAACCTGCTTCAGGTTTATTTTGCTCCTCCCTCTTAGTATCAGTGTTATCCCTAAACTTGTGTTCATGCTCTTTCTTAAGCTGTGGGCAATCTCTTCTCAGATGTTTATCAGATCCACACTTGTAGCATTTCCTAGCTCGAATTTTATCATCTGTGTGTGTCGCTGGACGAGGCATACGTCTCTGACTTTGTGACTGAAACTTCCACTGTTTCAATTCTCTCATATCACGCTGTAAGGAACGCATGTTCTTTTCAACTGTTTCTATGAAATGATCGAGTTTCGAGGCCTTAGACGAGTCCTCTGTATTCTCACTCATCACCCTGACTGCATCTATGCGACGGCTCTCTGCTCTGTTGTATGCTTCTAGTTCAACAGCTCTCTGTATTGCATCATTTAAGTTCATAGGTCTCGCCTGCTTAATCTTGAGACGCATTTCTGAGTTGTGCAACCCATCTAAGAATTGTTCTGTCGCGAGTATTTCCCGGACGTCATCAGGAGCAGTTGGGTAGGCTAAATTTATGAGTCTTCTTATGTCTTGACCCATCTCCGGCAAACTTTCAGATGCCTTTTGTCTTCTGTCTCTGAGCTGTGCTCTGTATAGCTTTGTCTGGTTTAAAGGCGCAAACCTATCCTGTAGGGCTTTGACTAGTTTACCGTAGTTCTGTCGTCCCTCTCTAGGCTGATTTCCTAATACTCCTTGTGCTTGGCCTCTAAGGGATGCAGCCAAGTACAATCCCTTCTCAGTCTCTGTCCACTCATTTAAAAGACAGACTGATTCGAAATGCGACAGATAATCGTTCCACAAACCTGACCCATCATATGTAGCTGGCTTTATAAAATTTCTGGATCGGGCTTGTCCTGGGTTTGTATCCTTCCTTGGCTTGGGAGCACGCATGGGAGCTCGAACATTAGGTACAGAACTTTCATCATCATCAGTACATGCACAAATATCATCACTGACATATCCACTAACACTATCTCTCCGTCTCTCATGCGGAGTACTGGTACTCATGCCTGGTCTGTGTCTCAGGACGCCTGGAGTCCGTGTACCAGGGGAATTCCTACCCATGACAGAGTCATGTATCTCTCTATTTAAACGAATTATTTCCCTTTCCAAAAAATCAACATCAGCTTGTAAATCTGTCATTCTTATGAATGTAATAAAATGCTATCAATGAAATTAACTTAAAACAACGACCGATCCAAATCCCACCGCTGCCACCAATTTTTGTAACGTGTTTTGGGTCCGATGATTTGGACCAGTCTGGGAGGATGTATAAAAATGATCAAAATTACAAGAATTATGTACAAAAGCTAATATAAGAACGAGTCAATATATACATATACATATATCTAGGGTTATCTATCCCTTTAATATAAAAACTAATAACAGGTAATTTCTTAAGGACAGGGCTCTGTCCTGTGTATCTGTCCGTGGGACGTGTCTCTGGGATGTGTTCTGTAGGCTGTGTCCCAAGACGGCTGTGTCCTTTTGATCTTATACAGGCTGCAGCCAGGTACTAGATATATATCCACCGCTCGTATATACAGTTAAATGCCACTGTATTTTCCGTAACAAGCTAGAAAACACAATACAACACTGGGCAGTTGTATTTAACACTATAATTCTTTTTATTAACTCTAACCACCGTACCTGCTAGCAACCTTCTCCTTCGACAGCCAAACACAGAATGACAATTTTACCTCGGATGCGCTCTTATATATACACCAGCGACACCCGGATTAACCTCGGCTTCCATCATACCCCTAATGATAAAGCCCGTCTATAATTGAATCCCGAGCCCGATCGTCACAATTTTTTTTTTAAATAAATAATTATCACATGCCGGGAGCAAGCCCCTGTGGACAGTTTATAGAGAATGAATGTTTATAGAAGATATTCAATGTTTTTATTGTGGATATGGAATTTAATTTATAACACGAGTGGGACAGGAATTTTTTTATATTTACACAAGTGCGAAGCACAAGTAAATATATATATATATATATATATATATATATATATATATATATATATATATATATATAAGAAATAAGGTATCATTTTTAAACATCTATCGGGATATAAATACGGGTTGGTCACGAGATCAAATTCCATAAAGCCCGAAGGGCTTTATGGTAAATTTGATCTCGTACCAACCCGTTTTTATATCCCGATAGATGTTTTAAAATGATACCTTATTACTTATATTTACATTTGTCACTTATTTATATTTTATATTTGCCTAATTATAATTTTAAACGTGTGAAGTGTTTTATTTTTCAAACTCAACGGCACGTGTCTAATCCATTGATTGCACGTCGACCCTTTATGACATCACTGAGAAATTACGTCGAACGTTTATGACGCGAGGAACCCGTGTTTATTCGGATATAGATACGCATTGCTTTCAATAGTGTTATATAAGGGAAAGCATTTACAAATGTATATATATATATATATATATATATATATATATATATATATAAAATCCTGTCTCATGAGTGAAATAAATTCCATATCCAACTACAAAACAGTGAATTTTCTGTTTATAATTACATTATCTTTGATTTCTCTTTGCCTCAGTCTTTTCTTAACATAGTGTTATAGGTTGTGACTTCATAGTTGGATGGTTGCGATGTCATAGCTTAGCAATTGTGAGATTGAAAACATTGTAACATGGATTTAAGCAAATATATTTGGGAGGAAATTTACAGTTTTAGTCTCTATCAATATGGTTTAGTTACTATATCTTATGACAGGCCAGAAATCATTTTTACTTACTTTGATACCCTTTCACACTGTGACAGAATATCATTTTGGTATCCTTTCACACTGTGAAGGAATATAACATTTATTCATTAAATAAATCACAGTATTTCACTATTGAAAATGTATTTAAAAAAGATTATACAACATTAATTGCATAGTACATGTAGATGCTTATAACTTTTGACAATAAGTACATGTATTCAGTGTAATCTGTTCATAGTTGTCTTGTAAATTGAAAAAAAAGTATAAAATGAAAGATGATTCAGATGTTTATATTGAATATGCATTTTTAACAATATTTATAGATTGCCTTTTGGGAATACAGTAGAAATAAGATCTTGGAGGATGGGGGATTATCAAGTGGAATCAAAGAGCCCCTCCTTTCGCAGATTACTGAAGCTTCTTTCAGATTCCCAAGTCTCAAGCTCTGAATTACAAAAAGAAGTTCAGGCTTTAATGGAAATGGTCAGAGAGCAACATGAAAGGTATTGATCTGCATTGAAAAGAAGTCAGGTTATTTGTATTTTTTTATTTTTTTTTTTTTTAACAATTTGGTGAAGTGGATTGTTATGTATAGTATTCCCATACTGGGAAGAAGATACATGCATAAAGTTATCAAAAGAAGAAATACAGTACTGTGATACACATATACACATACAGATGGATATACAGTGCTGTGCCAAAACTGTTGTTGCAGATTTTAAGCACAATGCCAAAAGGTAAAATAGAGTTCACTTACAAAGATACTAGTGAAAGTATTTTGTAGCATGATCCTTTTATATAACACATTGATGATATCCATTTATTCTGGCAATTTCAAACTTTTTTCTTACCCTCATAATAATTATGTTATTTAAGTCCATGTGTCATTTCTTGTGGATTTGAAGCCATGGTGCAAATAAGCTTATTATTAATAAATATAATGCTCTCTATGTTAAGTTGTGTTTGACTTCATATTTACAGATATATTTGCAGTTATTCAATTATTGCCTTTTTTTAGAAAGTGGGAATAAAAACATGAAACAATTTTGACATGATAATGTATATACCTGTACAATGCCTAATTTGCATACCTTATCAATATCAACAAATAAGTGAAGTTTTATCATTACTAAATTTTTTCTTGTGACTAATGTGACTTGAATATGAAATTATCACTAAACCATGGTATCTTAACATTTCATGCTTATATGCATTATAATATCAAGTGAACTTTTTTCAGAGAGAAGATAACAGACAGTGATGTCACAGCAGTTGATAAGACACTGACCTATTTTCAAGAACTCTTAAATACAGAGCCAGCATTTGCACACTGTGGTCTTGCAGATTGCTGTCGATTGTTGCGCAATATTTGTGTACAGTGTCCTTTGGCACAAGACAAAGTTTTGCCATGTCTCAAGAAGATCAGATCTGTGATACACAGTTGTGCTGGTCTTAAGAGAGGGATACACAAAACTGAAAGTGAAAGTGGCATCATTTTGTTCCGATGTATTGTACAGTTCATTGGAAACTGTATTGTCAACCATCCAAATAACCAAGAATTTGTGTGGAATAATTTCCAAGATGAGCTCAGGTAACCATGTATGGGTAAAGCGTATATGTACATTTTTTTTTTTTTTTTTTGAAATTTACATGTATCTCTGGCCAGTTAGTTGTCTCCTCTCTAAATTTCAAATTTCACTAGAAACATCTGTTGCAAATGTTTAACTTCATGTTTGAATATTATCTGATTTATGTCACATTACTTCTACTGTACTACATGTACCATGATTAACCCCTTTAAAGAATAGAGGATATAGAAAGAATGTGATCTGTAAAAAAAAAAAAAAGATGAGAGTAACTTACAAGACTTACCATATATACTCGCCTATAAGTCGGTTTTTTGGGAGTTAAATTTTGGTCCAAAACTCTATGTCCGACTTGTAGGCGAGTCATTAAAAATTGGCATTATTTTGAACGGCAACATGTAGTATTTTATAAACGTGTCTGACGATTATCATTGAATAAAATCTGGATATATTATATCATTTTTGTATTCTAAGATTATGCATGAAGTACAAGTATTTACATATTTCAATAATTTTATTTTATCGTAAGTGTGCATTAGTTATTTCTTTAATGATTTAAAATTAAATATTGGCGTCATTTCTAAAACAAAAAATTACTTAAACCAGGTTAAAACATCATTAAAACATTGATTTGAAATTGTCAACCTGTTCTTGCAAAAAGTTGTACCGACTTATACGCGAGTCAATGGCAAATCCCTCAGAAATAACCTCAAAAATTACAACCGACTTATAGGTGGACCGACTTATAGGCGAGTATACATGGTATATACGGTAGTATAAAAAAGGATGTAGTCTCTGAATTAACATTTGGTTAAAGTGCATCATAGATGTTTGTCTGTTATTTTTTTTTACTAAAAGAAATGTATTTCAATGTATTTTAGAAAGCTGAATTTTAGACTGTTTGATTTTGATTATTTGAAAACCATTGTTTTCATTTTATACTTTGACATATGATCCACTAATCTGTAGTGATAAGTTATAATTTATAGTCTTAAATTATAATTTAAGTAATAATTTAGTATAAGTTTTAAAAAGGGTCTAGGTTGTAGTGAAATGGTGTCATGGGATATGAACAAGTTTATCTTGCATGCACTGCTGAAGGAAAATATATCAAACATAAAAATCATGTTTTTGTCATCTTTACACACAGTGATCTGTTGAATTTTGGAGATGAGAAGTTATGTACATACACATGTATGGTTTATCACAATTGCCTCAGAGGAAAGCTGGACAGGAAGTCAGAGATGGATACTGAGCATTGTGGGCAAATTCTTTGTGATGTTGTCAAGGCAACAATTGACAAAGAATCTGAATATGGGTAAGGACTAATAAGGGAAAAAGTCCACATAAGAATAAAATAAAGAATGTGGTATATTGTTCATGGCAATTCTTTAATGTCTATTAGGACATGTATATTACTATATAGAAAGCTAAGCAGAGTTTCATAATAAATTAGTTTAAAATTTCATTTAAGAGTTAAGCTTTTCATATGAAATGTTCTTTTTTATCACATTAATTCAGATGTTGATGAACATTTCTGAGACCATTGAAAAGTGTCAAACATCAGTTTTAGACCCCAATGTTTTTGTTTTGTAATTGCTTCTAGATTATTTGTGGTAGGGGATTGTCTGGAAGTTAATGGCACCCTGGCTGTTGCTGATGAAGATCTATCAGATCATGAAATGTAAGGAATATGTAATTTTATGATAGTTACACTGATATAGTGAATTAACTTATGTGAACTCTAAAATGGATAAAAAATTATGAAGACTGTTGTTGTGTGAGTATGATTTCTGTAATTAATATTTTCATGTTTAACAAGTTTTTTTCTTGTGTTAAAACATTTATACACTACAGAAATAATTCATACACAGTAGATATAAAATAAGATTTAATACAGATGTATAGCAGTGTGTGTACCTGTTGATATGGTAGTAATCAGTATTAACAGTGATGCTTAAAAATTGAATTCAGAGGTGAGGAAATTTCTTCTATATTGACAATGTTCATTTACAGATTGTATGTACTAGAAATATTAATAGATCAGCTGAAGAGATTGCCAAAGGACTCTGATTTAACAGAGCCCTGTCCACATCCTTCACTAGGCAATTTACAGTACACAGTGACTCAAGTAGCTACACATGCTACAGCCATACTTAATGTCATGGAGGAAAAAATGGAAATTGTGAGTATATTTATCATGTTGTACACTAATTTTTTTTTTTAATATTTGAAGGAATATCAGTTTGTTTTATCTTTAGAAATAGTTTCCTATAAAAACCTGTGCTTACAAAAATCTTACATTTCCAATGTTTTACTGAACATTTCCCTAAAAATATGTTGTTTGACTGTTTGTTGAGATGTTGAACCAATCATTGAGATGTCTGACCACTATGACAATATGTGTAACATGTAATTTGTATTCATTTATCCTTATGAGTATGCAAGATCTGACATGTGTCAACAAGCTATATTTGTTTTGTTGAACCCAACAACTAAACTGTTGCCTTTGGCCCAATGGTCTTGGATCTGATAAAAGGCATATATATAACAATAATGTTCTGAAATTTTACATGACTCTATACAATAAATTTTTTTTTCAAAGACAAATAGAATTACACAATATTAGTATGACTTTTTTGCTGAATGAAATAGTCACTTTATACCCTATAGTATCCTTTCACTTTCTCTCTCTATGATAGACATGTATATATGTACAGTGTATATGATGCTCTTCAAGAATTATTGTTTTTCAGAATCCAAATATAATTGTGAAACAGATAGAGATCCTAGGGCTGGCTTCTTCACATACACAGCTGTACGGAGAACTACAAAATGAATCAGACTTATTGACAACTTGTCTCTGTAAGTTTTCGTTTCTGTGCATCATAAATTCAATATTTTCAATCATCACTTCATAGCCTGAATCCTTATTATACACAAAAAATCAATACATCTGAAAAACGATATTTTTTTTTACACAACACTGAAATGGGTGTATGCAATATTCTCATAACCAGTAATTTGGAATTATATTTTTACCTGATTTTCAGGTATGGATTTATTTAATAATAACAGTTAATGATGCATTAACATGCACAATTCATGATTACAAAGAACAAAGACACTTTAATTTTCATAAACAAAAAGGACACTGAAAGAATATTGAATAAAGTTAATCAAATAGCAAAAAGATTTGAGTTCAGTGTCAAACAATAGATCAAACAATATTCAAAAGCTGACGAAACTGAAAAAGAAAAGATTTGATCAGAGAGTGAACTTATAGCAAACATTGAATTCATAAGCATATAACAAATGTTATTCAAATTAAGTAGCATTAATGTTCAAGTTTCTGCACAAAAAGATGAAGAAAATGAAATGTCTATAGAATAAGAAAAGTTTTATACATTATTACATACAGTGTATTAATTGATTCTGGCCAAACCTGTAGTTTTACCATGACTTTAGTCTTTTTACCTTTGCTGTACGTAGAGTTTTATACAAGTAGATTAATACTGTAAAATCACTTATTTTTGTTGGGTCAAATTTTCATGGTTTTAGAAAAAAATTATTGGTTCATGGGGATTTGATTTTATAGTTGGTAGACAATAATGATATTGTAATGTTCTGTTTTACCATTTTGTGGAGGACATAAATATGTGGGGCCCTTTATATCATTAAAAAATTAAGAAAATTAACCTCCATGAAAGTTAGTGATTTCGCAGTACATACATGTATGTTGATGAATAAGTAAAAAAAAAAAAAAACCCAAATATTTTGCAGATTTGCTCCACAGTATCCACCGACTGGGACAATGTGGAGACAATGTGTTCAGTAGTGTGGAGAAGGTGACCCAGGTCAGGGAGGTGGATGTCCATCATCCAGCCTTCGGTCTCAAGAAAGACATCATCCGCCTGCTGGCTAATCTTGTACACAGGCATAGAGAAAATCAAGATAAGGTACATTTATTTTAGTTGTCTAATTACATGAAGTGTAATTATAGTTTGCTAGAAGTACAGTTTTCAATGCAATTACAAGGTTTTTTTAAAAAAAAACTCCTATTAAAATCGTGTATTACGTTGTACAATATACATGTAGTGTATTTGATTCTAAAAAAAAGTAAGTTTGCAACTATTGTAAATTTTATTGGAGCAGTTTCAGGCAATTTTAGGAGATTTAAATTTATTATCAATAATAATGGGAGGATTTACAATATTAGCGAGCGCAGCGAGCAGCGCGAAGCGCTGCTCGCGAAGCGAGCTCAATAGACTAACGTGTAAGAACAGAGGAAATTCGGAATGAAATCTGTACATACGTCAGGCAAATTTTCTGGTGCAACATTCCCAGAATTCCTTCGCTACCAGGGTTCCATGCGAAATTCTTACAAAACATACAAAATACCAAGGATAAATATTCATTACCGAGAGATACGTTTACTTTTCTTTCTTTGCAGAGAGCTTAAAAGAAACAAAAAATAGTTACATCTACTCTACAACGTATTTCATTTATTATTGCACAAGATCTTTAGTCTCGTTCAACCAGACGCTCGGCTGTCTCCGTAAATTCCGACGTCATGTGACGTCACAGTCTAGACTGTGTCTCGTGCGGTTTGACGTTTGAAGAGGCGGATCAATGTTACAAGTGTAAGCTGCTAGCCTATAGCTTTTTGATGGTATAACTGCGCTCGCCCCAACGGTCACACCGTAAAACATATTAAAAGGAGAGGAAGGACCTTTAGCTGAAAAATATCTTGTCATTCAATTTTGTTTCATATTTTGTGTAGTATTATCAATTTTAGTATACTATAATATTATCTTATATATTTAGAGCAGTACTATCATCAGATTTCTTACATTATTATACCCCCTGCTTTTAGCTAATGGAAACCTAAAATGCCTCTCTGATCAAAACTTAAAATATGAGGTGCACAATAGCACTATGTAATAAAGATTCTGGGAAAGTCTTGTGAAATTTTATTCAGTGGCATAGGAGGAGTTGCAGATAGGAGATGGGTACCCCCAAGGACGGACAGACGGACACCCCCATCACTATATTCCCCCCCGCTTTTCAAGCAGAATGTATGATTTTTCTTTATAAGTTTATTAAGTGTTTCATTAATTCAGTACTTGCATAGAACCAGGTGAATAGGGATATTGCCTATAAGCAATAACTTATTACATTTACCTTTGCAAGTCCCTGCTTTGCATGCATTTTTACATTACAATAGAAATAATAAACATGTTAATTGTCAGAAAATTTATAATAAAGAAGTTGGTTTGAAATGAAGAAAAAAATACCCTTAGTCTCATAAATTATCGCTGGACTCATTATTATTTACTCCAGTCTTGAAATTCAAGTTGACTTACGTATCTGTTGTGTTTTCAAACCAAGCTATAAAAATGATTTTTAAAATTTGTTTTATAGGATGGGATAGTTTTAATTACGTATAATTAATTTAACTGGACATTGTGCTGCTCGAAATAAACCTTTGAAAAGTTACAAAAAGTAGCATTTAGAAAAATATAGATTGAATCATTTTTATGCAAATGTAAAAAATTCAAACGAAAACATCATAACTGTTATTCTTATATCATAATTATTCATCTTATGTACGAATCAGCTTGGCGCGAAAAAGGATACTGGCGCAAACTATGAAGGGGCGCAAAACATCTCGATATGCAAATTTCAGATCACTGCTCAGGGCAGGGCGATCATTTCTTTAAAATTATTTTATGCACAAACGATAGTCACATTTATGCGCATCTATTAATGAAAATGTAATACATCCAAATAGAGATCACTTTTTTAAATGTATAAATGAGTTGTCTCGCTTTCTGCCCAATCAAAAAATCAAGATGGTTTGAAACGATATAAGAAAACTTGGTAACTTCGTTATCAAATGCTAAGTATCTGAAATAAAAGTGATAAAGTTCTTTAATTAAAAGTGCATGTATATGTAACATAAAGTCAAATGCGTGGATGTCTTGTGCATTTAGGTTCATAGTCTAGGTTTCCATCTCTTTATCTCAATTAACCGCCAATGCCCTCCCTGAATTTTGTGTGAAATTCTGCCAGTATCATCTTAATTTTTAATATTATTGTGATAAATGTTACCTGCAACATTTAGCATTGCAATACTTGCTAAATACACCGGTAGGATTTAAATAAGAAATCCCAAAGTATGAATTTACACTTGTTTAAAACATTTTGTTTCAAGTTTAGGCCGGGTTTTCATGCGTTCATTCTAACTCAATTGAATTTCATTATTTTCTGATGCATCTCTTTTTTCAGATCAAAAGTTCATAATCACCTGTTGCTTTGCAAGGGGTTAGTTCTGTTTTTGATCTGGGTCATTTTAATTCTTTTATTTAGGCTAGCAATATGTTTGATCTCTGAACATTCTTATTTTTAACAAAGCATTTAATTTTCTTCTGACGTAGGTGAGAGAAATGGATGGATTGCCACTTATTTTGGATCAAACGAACATTGATGCCCGAAATCCCTGTATCCTTTTTATTTATGTATTACCGACGCCTTTAAAAACCGTTTTAGTATAAAAATGCAAAATGACTCTATTTTGATATAGATTTTAAAATTTATTTCGAAGCTTTTTACTAGGCAAGTACACTCCGTCAACATAAAAGTCATGTTTGTCGTAAAATGTATTTTATACTGGACACGCATGTAGTTACCAACACAAAATTACGATATGCCGACGCTCGCTTTTGTATGTATAATACCTACGCGTTTATAATGCATGTATGTCATGTATATGCAGCGTATGAACTAACTACTCAAGGCAAATACGCGCCTGAGATTTCTATTTTTTATTGTACGTGTACTGCAAATTGAAAATAAACTACTAGGGTAATATATAATTCTTGTTGCCAAACATTTAAAGTGGACTTTGGTGAAAATTTGAAGAATCTAGTGAACTTATTATAAGAGAAAGTGTTTACAGTTTATGAAGGATAGGTGGTATCATAAATTCAAAGAAAATTTCACCAGGGCAATTTTTTTGTGAAGTTTTTCTGATCGCAAAATTCGAAAAAAAAAGTACTCACACGAGAACATTTTCTTATAGACAGATTGTGAAATTCGTATTTTGATCAATAGCCTGATGAGTCATATGCCTTAAGCACTGTCAAGCAACGTCTCTATTTCTTATAGTACTAGTAAATTATGAAATTAAAGCTCCGGCGCATTGCGTAAGACACTGTTACATACCCATTGTGTTTTACCTGCGCTGTCAGTGTTGCATAAGGTCAAATTAAGTCAACAATACCTACTTTCTATTCTAACCTGTAGTGTTTCGTTGTCTGTGCATACACCTGGTTAACCAAATCAAGCTTTCACTTCCATCTACTCAGTGAAAATTGACTCCTAATCATAGATTCACTCATTTATAAATAATCGTCCGACAAGATCATGCATTACCTAACTGAGATACATGTACGATACACGATTTATTGACTTTTTGAGAGCAGAATCATTACATGATATTGATGAACAATAATGTTCACTTAACTAGTTCTTTAGATATTTCTCAGTGGGCGATACTGGCCATCCACAATCTGTGTGAAAATAACCCAGACAATCAGAAAGTGTTGTCAGACCTTAAAATACAGGGTGTCTGTGACAAATCAGCCATAGTAGAGGAATTAGGGATCGAGGTGGAACTTAAAGATGGCAAAGTGTCTGTGAAACCCAAAACACAGGATAGGTGACCGACATCTCAACCCGGTGTTCTGTGATAAAGTACGAAGCAAAACTTACTGTTTTATGAAAGAATGTTTTAAATTGCAGAGACTCACGGTTTCATCAAGCCCATGCAGTCATCTATCTTTCCTTCATTCTTTCATTAAAACATTTATTGCTAAAGAAGTAAAAGATACATATATTTAATTTCATTTTAGGAATTATTACATGAAAATGCAATGAGTCTAATTCAATGTATCTAATTTTCTATGCTTTAGCTTGAAATCATTCAATACAAAAGTCAGTCAGGCTATGTTAAAGAATGTAGGTCAGCAACTAGGAAGCTGTTGTATACGTTGTTCAATGTATATGGGTTTGGTACCACTGATAACAGAAAATAAAACAAAAATCGTTTGTTAATGGTATGCATATACAAGGAATCTTAATCTATTTCTAACATTTACAGCATCAAAACACCAAGCCCTATTGTAGTGGGTTTGTTGTAATTTAGAGCAATTGCTCTGTTTCATAACCTTGTTCACTTAATCCTGTTAATACCATATACAACGTTTACCGCGTGCGTTTGAAAGATGACCTTGTGTTTTTTTCCACCGATAACCATATTGCTTAATGATTTGGATCAGACATGAATCATTACCTGTACTGCGTTTTGCAAGTGTCTACTATTCTAAAACTAAACTCTAAGCAGTCCAAAATTGTTAGTTTACATGTAAGTCATACGCACCATACTTACCGATTGATAATTCAATTTTGCAGAGAATATCTTGAAAACTTATCAATTTGTAAGGTTTGTTGTAAGTTATGGTGCGTAGGAAATTAACAAAACAATCTACAATTTTGGACTGTTTAGAGTCAAACATGTTAAATGTTAGTTTTAGAATGCAGATGGTCATCCTACACATTACATGCTCTTAGAACCCCCCACCCCCACCCCCCAAATCAACACGCATTACCAGGGGTTTTGATTGGATATTAAATGGTGAAAAAATATACAGTTATCAGATATACTATAATTTCCAATATTTGTATTAGAAGCATCATTAGGTATAAAAGCTGCACTCACATCCTTCAATTATTGGAACTCTGCAATTATACATGAATTTAGAAAACAAAGCACAAAACTACGCTGCGTATATGTCTTTAATTTACATCTGAATCTTTGTTCTTGTCAATTACTATAGCTAAGTCAGAAATTGTAAATCTGCAATTTCATTCATTCAGTTAAGCGGAACTTATTTTTTTTTTTCTTTGTTTGGATATGAAATCTGTACAGAAATTTAAAGACGTTTGAAATGCAATTTTATGATTTTTGTAGGGACGATTCTGTCCCTAGTAGAAAATGTATTTAAAAAATCTATGTAGCTAATATTATTTTTTAATAATAATAGTGTAATTTAATACTAGTAAAGGACAATTACTTCCATTAAGATAATCCGAACCCCATGTTCTGAAAATCAAGAGTTGGGTTGAGTTGAGAGATTGAAAATGTTCACAAAAATGTCAAAGTAATAATGTATTTACCCATGGTATTTCTTCAAGGTTTATCATTATAGTTAATCATATTATAAAGGAAAAATTACCAGATCTCAAATATATTTTCAGGAAACGCGAATAAAAGCACTTGCTATGCATTTTTTGATTGCTATTGACCAACAAATATATTCTAGGATAAAAAACTAAAGGTATTCAGACATTTGGAGAAAATTGCATGTTTTTGTACTCATAGAGTACTTTTAGTTCTTTTATTCACTTCTGTTATTATATTTTACATTGTGTAAAAAGCTTGAGTTATCATTGCAAGACATCACCGATCCCTTCTTATATATCATGCTGATAAACATTGGTATCTAAGACTTAGATTAAAGGAAATTTGATTTCTCTAAAAATGTATTCATTTTTGTACTTTGGGTTACAAAAATCAGCATTTTACAAAACCTTCAAAGAACTTATCATATTGAGATGCATGAAATGAAAATTGCTCGAAAAGATGTCAATTTTAAGCTATACAAAGGGTATTTTTTAGACTTTTTAATGTTAAATAATAACTTTGAGTTATCGTACCTGACTGAGGAGTGGCTATCCTTAAGGACGTATGGTAGTGACGATTTTGAATCCACCGCGCAACTCCGAATGACGTAAATGAATCTTATGTCGTTCATCTCTTTAGTAGAGTTGGAAACAAAATTTACAATGCAACTTATTTTAAAGATATACTTGATATAAAATCATATAAAATGTGACTAAAATTTCATTGGATTCAAACTAACAACAAGTCGAGGTAATTTTACGACTTATTTTACTTTTCGGTAATGTAAATAAAGCGGATGTTTCGAAAAGAATGAAATGCGGAGAAAACGAGGATTTTCGTCAACCAAATCTATTCAGTGGTACAGCAAGGCTTCTTTGACTCAAAAAAAGGCGATGGTGAGCTGCGTCTGACTGAAAATTACTGTGCAAAGATTAAACCCATCATTCGAATCACAAACGCACGACAACTCTAGCCTAGCAAAAACGATCTGCCCAGGTTTGTCTCTAGTATTTGACATCATTTAACTAACATTACCTCAGAAATTCAGTAAAAGTGATTGTGGCTCAGCAAAATACCGGTATTAGATAAGATAGAGATAGGCCTATATATATGAGTGAACTGGGTACTTTTTTCTGAATTGGGGGCATGAGTGAACACACAACATTATAAATTAGTGACGATTCATGTTAAAGTTTTTTTTTTCCAAAAAAAAGCAGAGATTTTGAGATTAAAATTTGTTATATTCTTCCTTAGTTGTTGTTTGCAATATAGATTCGAAAAAGGGATAAAGAGCACTACACTATATAATAATAAAAACAATACCACTGGTTACCAGTGCACACATGAGGGGGTAATTTACATGATTTATATACAATTCTGTTTTGTAATTTATTTTTATATTGTGTGACATGATTGCATTCCGGAATGTTGGTGAATCAATAAAAATTCAAAAATTTATTGATGTTATTCAGGTGTGCTTGATTTTGGAAAAACGTTTTGAGTTTCATGTACTCTATCATGTTTACATGTATGTATTGATGCTTTTAAACTTAGCAAACATAGAAAATATATTAAAAGAAACAATAATTTATTATAAATGTCAAGTCATATGAGACACAGTTATAACTCATTGAGTTGAAATGAAATTTGAAGGTAACCAGATGCAAGGTGTTGGATACTGTCTAGACAATATTTTCTTCCAAAACATACTAGATAAAAAATTCACTACACTACAACACAAAATAATACTTACCACTAAATTCTTTGGCCTAAAACAGGACTTTTCTTTTATTAAGATTATTTCTTTCCTTATTGTTGATGGTGGAGTGTCTGACATGCAATTTTGACTATAATCATTTTTTTTTAATTGAATTTTCTTCTGAGTTCATGAAAGCTAAAAGCATCAATACATATTATAGAGTATGTGAAACTGAATCATGATCAAGTAGACCACACAATATGAAAATAAAATAAAACACTTGTTTTGTATATACTGCATCTACATTTACATATATGCAGTGATAGGGAAGAAATCTCAGCTATATAGATTTAGTAGTACATGTATATTATTTGAATAGGTATCCCTAATATTGTGGACATTGAACATGAAGTTGAGATGGAACAGGATATGGAACCCTTAATATCTGCTAACTTGAAACTTGGAAGGAGGGTTATGGAACTGGGGGTGATATGACAGATGCTCTAAAATGTCCACGCCATTTCAGCAGCTCTTTCATGCTGTGGATATCCTAACTTATGGATCATCAGCTATCATTAAGGTACATTTACATTTGTCAAAATGTTAGGCTGTGGTATTGTTAGGCAAAATTGTTTCCACTTTCACAACCCAGTGAACCCACCCTATTTTGTAGCTGACCCTAATTTTTTAAAATGCTTTTTCAAGAAAAATATAAATATTCATTTTAAATTACCCAATAATAGCATGTATAAAAAATTTCCACCATAAATAAAACACTATTTCTTTGACATCCAGTCTATGCAAAAGACATCGGACCGTCAGACCTGACCAATGTGCAGTGCCTCTGGTGCAATGCGTCATTTTTTACACCGGACCAGAATGTCCGATGTGTCTCTGTCCAGTTTTGAGCATTATTATTTTGATGGGGAGTCATGTAAATGTTTGTTATAAGTAAAAAATTTCGCACAAATCCAAATACGTAAATGAAGGTGATTAAAACTGTATGGACCATCTACAGTACTATGCGGGAGCAATCCCTTGTAAAAGAAAAGCTGTTAGGCTTACTACTCTGTATTTTCACGTGTTCCACTTTTTTACATTAGGTTTTTTGGTCCGACAAAATTTGATTCAGTCCTGTGTGTTCATTGATTACACAGGACCAAATGTCCTGTGTGGTCCAAAAAACTTTCGCATGGACTGGACATCAGTGTTACTTGGTTGTTTTATTTAAAAAAGTCCACGCAAAAAAAAAAAAATTAAAAATATGCCTACCAGTACCTACCGGTACTCTAAATTTTTCCAGCATGAACGTGATGAAAGTGGAAACAAATCAGGTTTAACCAATCATTTTTCTTGGCTTTACTTAGATTATTTTCTTTGATAATTGGCTAGATTTCACAATTAGTAAGCAAGTAAATTGTATTTTATACATGTAGTGATATATTACAGTATGAAGAAAAACATAAAAATACATGTAATCAGTCAATTAAACCTATGTGTCACTTCAAGACAAAACCATGTATATCATAGTTGATACCCATGACAAGTTTTAGATAAAGTTTAAAGTACAATGTACCATATGTAGTGATGTAACAATTAATTGATTAAATCAATTATCTAATCGAAATGATAATCGATTACTCAAAATATTAGTTAAAAGCAAATTATTCCTTTGATTTTTGATTCATTCTTCTTTGAATTTAACTAAATCCTAAATAATAATCTAATAAATGAACCCAATGATACAAACTATTTCAAAAATGTATTTTGGAAATCACTCCAGAATTTCTAAACAATTTATTGTACATTTGAAATTGAAGAAATATAATATTTGAAATTAATCAATTTTTTTCCGATTATAGTGCATCCCATTATTCCAATAATCAATTATGAAAAAAATCCCAATTTCCCATCACTAACCATATGCAAGAATTGTAACTGTTTGATGAATACTAACTGGTATATTAGGTTTGACATTAAATATTATGAATTATACGTAAATACAAACATACAAAATTATTGTTTATTTATAGTATCATAGGGACATACAACTTGTATGTTTCATAGTTATTTACTTATTAAACATTTCATGTTTGAAATAAAGCAAACAGGTTTAGGTATGTGAAATCACTAACTGCCCATATACATGTAACAAGTTTATTGATG